ATCCTCCGCGACGGCTCACGAGAAAGTGAAGAAGCTAACGCCGTTATGTATTGGGCGTACGCAGGTTTGTTCGTGTTGAATTGTTTTTGCCGGCTTGAACGACCTTCCTTGAACGACCCAAACACCGGATGGTACAGCCAGGTACGGCTATGGTACACGGCGTACACGGCTAGGTCAATAAACTGTGTGACGCAACGTCACTAGTGCGTTGGACCGACGGAGAGCACCGATACCGCGGCACGCTCTACCGTACTCTCTCGCTCGCACACCTCCCCTCATAGACCACTGAAATTCCTCAGCACGCGTCGACACCGACGGAGAGCACCGATACTGCGGCTCGCTCTATCGCTCTCGCTCTCTCCCTTTCGCCCGCTCCGACCATCTTCGGCCTCGTTCGGTACGCGTCGACACCGACGGAGAGCACCGATACCGCAACTCGCTCTACCGCTCTCGTTTATTTATGATGTTCATATTCCCCAAATAAATATCATATTTAACTAATTTGTTTAAGCGACATGTTCCTTTTAAAGATTTAGCTCTCCAGTATAAATCCCTAAGACCCTTATTTATTATTCATTTCACAAAATAATTGCAAATATGAAACTTTTTTACCTCTTCTTGAACATTCTAATTTCATAGCCCTAAACTGGGTACCTGAAAGTATTTCATTGAATTTGTGTAAAAGATTTTACTACTTCCTAAAAGATTCCGTGTGATATTTGATAGCATAAAAAACAATGTGCCGATACAGGGTTTCGATTTATTTACGAAACTAATCTGACCAGTTGCTGCATTCTTTGACACTAATTTTCAAGAAAATAAAACTTCTGTATTTCACTTAATTTGAGAGACACGTAGCTGAATATTAACATACGTTCATTATTTAATTACTCGCAATAAATAAAATTTTTGGAAGTAAATAACGTGTAAGTAAATTCATATGTAAAAATTTACCAATTGCCAGAAAGTAATTGTTCGTGCGTATTAAAATTCTTACAATAGGCAGTAAAACTATTCACACTCCCATATAAATTATAAATATGTAGATGTTAATGAAAGCGGTGTATATATTCTCCCACATGTAGATTTGATAAACTATTTATGAAACTACATCTATTCTGAATTTATCTGTTACAAATATACAAATGTAAGGCAAGATATAAAAACGAATAAAACAAGAACATGTAAAAAGTAACATTAATAAAAATGTCCATTAACGATGCATTTAGAATAAATTGTCTTGTAGTTAAGTGAAAAAATATATACTTTTCCGTTTAATGTTTCATGACTGTCTTATTTATTCCTTAACCTTAAACTGAAGCATCAGATATTTTTATTCTCGTGAAATCATATAGATACACGTAATATGAATGGAATATATAACACTTCATTTGTGCTAATAATACTCAGAATTCATGCTTTATCGGTAACGTCGGATATTGACACTAAAATGGTAACAGGGCTACGTAGCCCTATGAACGTGGGACAGAAAAAAGCATTGGATGATATCTCTATTCTATACCTAGTCGGTGATTGTAATTAGAAAAGGAGGTAGATGTGAAGTTGGCAACTGAAATCAGCCTGCATTCTTTTAAAATGCATATTTCAATTAATTAATATTTGCTTAGGGATGAATGTTTTAACAGTCGAATTTCGCTTTTACTCCTTCTCTAAAATATATTAAATCATGACAAATATGTTAAACACTTGAAAATTATAAAATGAATAGCTGAAAGAAATGTATTAGCAAATCAGGAATTATTTCATAATTTAATAATTATTTTATTGGCTCCTGGTATCTAAGGACATATTGTAATTAACAAGATGTAACAAAAACGATCGTTTTATAATGGAGACCATTCCAATATTGACCCTCGATAAATAAAGACGTGTTTTTCAAATTAAAGTTGTCTCCTTTAAAAGAAGTCTAAAATTTCCTAACGAGCAGAGTTCTTCAGGGCTCCACGGGCGAGGATTCACGCCTGATTTATCTCCTTTAAAAGAAATCCCTGGAAAAGGCCGCAACAATGTCAAGTGATGGTATAGTGTTTACAATGACCTTTAACATAAGGAATCCTTATTGAAACTAAAATTCAATATGGCGGCCATATACCCTAAAATTTGAATTTATCCTCACGAGTGTTGAGACGGAAATTGTTGAAATTAATTACTCAACTTTAATGTAATTATAATTTAGGAATATGAATGTACCTTTCAATAAAATGAATTTGAATACAATTTTACTAGTTAATATAATATAGGTCTATTCGGTTTGGCTTCTGGAATATAATTGATAACATTCCCTCTTTTAGTTACTAAGTCTAACTTCACGGTCAAATTTTCATCACTTAATTACAAAGGAACGTGTGACCACCAATAACCACCAAACGACAACCAATCGATTGGGTATAATGAAATGTTAAAAGGTCATAGTTGTTCGGCTAACTAGACACAAATCTAGTGAAATCACCCAACAGTTGCGCAACGGTTGTGTCTTCTGAACATTCTCACCACCCCCCTTCACGGGCGGTCTTCGTATCCCGAGTTTATAAGCATACCTTACAACTACAATGAAAAAATAAAATGATTATAAAACTACAGGCTACACAATCAAAAATATGTATTGTAAAGATTCAACATATCTAGCAAGAAATATGACACTTGGAAAAATACGAAATTACTTGTTAAAATAACATACACAAACCCTTCTTCCACACACTATAATAAACTTATGTGAGATCTGTGAAACTGAGTGATGCTCTATGATGCTCTGTAAATAATGTTTGTTGTTTGTGTTGTAATGATGTGCGCGTGGTGCCCGTCACTACATCACTCTGCTTCCAATCAATCCTTTTTCTGTCCCTACGGTATCTTCGGCAGCGTCACCTTATGAAAACCAAACATCTCTATTAGGGAGCAGAGATGTCGTTATAATACGTATCTGACGTAATCTTATCGATATCATATTCCAGACAATTATTCGATACCTCTCAAAAGATTATTGTAAGGGTTACCTCCAAAATACAGTTATCTAAATCTAAATGATATCTCTCTGGTAACTTTTTTCAGAGATCTGTAACAATGACTTTCTTCAGATGTCTTACGGACATCTGCAGATGACTGGCTAACTAGGCTTATTTCAGGTACCTGCAACATTTTTGTTACACCCTGTATATTGCACTATTTCACTTAGTAAACATTCAATGCTGGTAGTTCTAGTGTCAATAGCAGGTTAATAAGTTTTTTTATATTTAAATTTATTTTTAAAAAGGGTTCATTACAATTTATGCATACATGCTTATGTATTATAAATACATTTCATGTTAATTCTTCTCATTATTTCTTTTTTGATTCCTTTTCCAGTGTCTTCTCCTTTGCTCTTTGATATAAAGATACAAGTTTCCCATCTTTAGCAAGCATTTTTAGTAATTCCATTATCAATGGCAAATAATTATGCTTTCTTCTAATATTTTCTATTTGATATCTTTTGGATTTTCGAATTTCCTTTTCTATTAGTGTCTGCAAACGTTCCAACTCAGCTGGATCACAAACATTTGCTTTCTGTCGTTCGTATAGTGTTTTTCTATCGGTTACTATTGCCATTAAATTAAAATGTATTTCTCCTTCGTTATACCTACAAAAATGTAGTTTATGATTAAATGAATAAAAATGGCATTTACACATGCAAAATACTTACTTATTTATTCGTTTTTGTATTATAGGTTTTGCTGCTTGAACCCACTGATCTCCAAGTGGACATGGACCTAAATCCATTGGTCCATCTTTTAAACCATCCAACTCGTACAGCCGACCATCACTTGGAATATAACTAACAAAGTGAAATACATCATCCTCTTTAGATGCTTTTCTTGAATCATATTCAAATAATGTTTGCCTGTAATAAGTGATGTTTGTTTTGTACAATAAAAATAATAAGCATTTATTAATATTAATATTCATAGAAGACCATTGTAAAAGATATACCTGGAAAAAGAATTGTGTACTTCTCTTATTACATCAGAATTGCTAAGAGCAAGCCCTCTCATATTAGCATCAAAGCTCTGACAAAAATTTTTAAATTCCTCTAAATTTGGACCCAATGATATATCAGAATGTTTACAATTTAATAATACACTTAATATTGCTTGTGTTGCACATGCATTATTAATCACCTGAGAAAGAAGAAACACTTCATTGACAACATTTCTTTATTTAACAAATATTAAATTAACAATATTGTAATACTTACCTGTTTTGCAAAAAATATTTTGTCTAATCTATTATCTTGAACAATACTTCCAGAAGGCTCATCATCCTGAACCCATTTAAACAAGAATATCAAACCATGTATTGGCCTAAAAAATTAAACTGTAGTGAAATAATGTAAAATGCAAAATGTTTTTATGATTTATTACATTTTCCAATTATTAATATTATATTACTATATAACAGAGATGAGTACACATTTTACACTATGTTGTAAATGCATTTACGATACGTTGTGTATGTATGTGTAATATGTCATTTTTGAGTTCATTTTGTATGTGTCATTTGTCATAAATGTCGTAAATAGCAATATTAATTATTTCAACATTTAAACAATCAAAGTAGAGAAACTTTTGAAAAATAAGTAAAAACAATACTTATCTTCTTTTCATATGTAATGTAAACAATGTAATATTGAACACTTAGTATTAAACACAAAATATAACGCAACGAATATACACTAAAAACCAAATAAGACCATAACTGCAAAATGACGAATTTCGGTCTTGTTAGCGCATATTCCTCTCAGTTACCTGAGTTACCAACGTCTTGAACAATTGAGCATCATTATACCTTGTGTAGCATCATACATCGAGTGACTGTGAAGTACAAACGTGCCAATTCATAAGTATTCATATTTTGAGAAATACTTCATTATGTCACCCGGTGTATGACAAATTCTATCGCCCATGTTACAGAGAGACCTCTGGTACTCATCCCAGCTGCGTGAAGCAGTTATGGTCTTATTTGGTTTCTAGTGTAAAAATCCTGTATTTACCCATCTCTGCTATATAATAACATCACAATAAGACAAAAATTTCATGAAACATGTATATTCGTCTCTAATTCCGTTTAAAAAATACTGTCAACATAGTCATAATTTAAACTATTTCATACTTGTATGTCTCACTTGTCGTCAACAGATTTAATAGAAACAAATGTGGTCGATATTTCCAACGTTATCAAAGAATAGGTTATGTTAGATAAAATAAATATTGTAAACTTACTTTAAACTATCGAACTGTTCATCATCTAAACTCCATAATTCTTCTACTTGTGCACCTTTAACGCCTATAAACAAAAATAATAACATGCATTCTAAATACATACAGATAAAAAGATACATAATAAAAGTACACAAAGCATACGTTACTGTAAAAGTTTCTTTTTAATACAAGTGGGTGTCAATAATTTTTTACAAAATACTAACAAGATGTGATACATTTATATAAATCATATAAAACTTTACCAAATTCCTTGATTAATTCGGTGAAAACACCAGGATCACTTTCGATGAGACACCAATTGCCCGCTGAGTCGGCCATTTTTCATTCATCATTTGTCATAACGCAACTGATGCCAGAATCGTGGGATTTTCGTGCGAGCGTATACCCTCTCCATGCCTCCCGTGCCACCGGGGGATTATATTTACAGGAAGATATTTTCTCTATCTTTGTGAAGGGTTGAACATATGATCGCATGCGTCTTCCGGATTCCATTTCGACCCGAGCTTTATTATACAGCCTCCTAGCTGCCGGAGTTGCCATAGAGTTACAGTAATCAGTTTCAGACATAGGCCTGGGAAGACACTGTGCCGGAGCACGCGTTTATTTAACAATCAAGGGGCACGCTGTGAGCCGTTGCCCACTGGTTCCCCCCGACGTTGAAACCACTGAAACCCCGCAATTGGCCGTCTCCGCCCGCAGCGGACGGTCTCGTAAAAGATGAAAACGTTCGAAAAACAACGAATCCGGGAAGGACTTATTGGACAGCTCAATAAAACAAATTTTTCATTATGAATTATTAAAGCCTTATAATGTTTTACAGACTGACATATAAGTACCATTATAGTAATAAATGTATCAAATCTGTAGTTTAATTATGATTAAGATAAATGTATAGGTGGCATATTAATAAGTTGCAATTAAGGATTGTATACACTGTTTTAAGTAAAAAATGTTACACACTGGACCCTCACGAGCAAAGTCTGTTTCCGTCAGGAAAACAAGCGGCGTAGGGGAATCCTCCTACCACTTGGTCTCGGGAGGTATTGGAATATGTGCCAAATTAACACTTAGCTTAACATTTATTTCAATACTTGAAATAAATTTACCAAGTGGTAGGAGGCCGTTCCCCTAGCGGAGGGCGAGTTTGCTTATGAGTCTACCAGCACAGCCTCATTTATTAAGATTTAATAATTATTACTTATCACTTAATAATTGATTGGATTAATAAAATATGAAGAATTTATGCAGTTCTTTTATATTAAAGTTTTTTATCATCAATTATTATTACAATGCTAAAGCACAATTTACACTATGTACAAGCAATAAATTATTATAATTGCAAAATATATTATAATTAACCATCGTTGACATTGCTCGTTAATTTCCATTATATTAATGACTTTTTTAAGCAGTGTACACTAAATTTACAGCAGATTGTAGGATACAGTATACACAAGTGAGATTTATAAGATAATGAGACAAAATAAAATAATTCACAGCAGTTTGAAATAAAGTTTTTACTCATTGATAAATATAGTGAAAAATAGTAATTTGGTAATCACATTTTTATGTACAAGAATAAATGTCAATAAGCCATATGTTGCAAAATGCACATACATCATTGAAAGTGAATAATTTTTATTTTTAAGTGTAGATATAACATTGTTTTAAATGTTCTTACTCAATTTGCAAGTGATCATAAGCATTGATTGCATATAGCAGAAAATTTTACTAAAATTCTGCTGTTACTGCTGTATTAATTGTATGTAATAAAAAATTGCATAAATCTATGACAAGACACTATACATATTTGTATATAATCATATTTTTTATCAAAGCACCTAACATCGCCTTATTCGTTCTTGATATCAATTATTATTTTCTGAATGACATAATGAAGACATAATATCCTCGTACCGCCGCATGTTTGTTTCAAATGTTTCCAACTGTTTGGTAAGATCCCCACCTACTTGTTCAGCAAGTGTTCTCTCCTCCATAAAAGCTTGAAGTTGTGGTGCACTTTGACACTCACGATAAAATGCTCCTAAATCACTATTGGTATTTGTTACAGCAAAAGGAGTTTTCTAAAATTGCATTTCCAAAGTTTAAAAGTACTACATCATAAATACACTTAAAAGTAGGAACGTTAATTACCAAATCTACCATAATAAAATCGTCGTTGGCACTGGTCATTGAGCAACTACTTCTCCTAGATCCATTTTGAGAGTTGCACTTTGACATTGTGTTATAATTTGTAAGTTTTTCATTATTTCCATTGCTGCTATCTGTTGTGGTAGTTGCTATTGCAGTCTTTGTGTTTGTAGCCTCAGCTACTGTGACAGGAGGAGGTGACATTTGTCTAGGAGATAACAAAGAACTAAAAGGTACATCTGGTATAACAAAGTCCTCTTCATTAACAGTAACAGGTTTATTGACTACAAACGCTCCCACTTTAATGGTATCACTGAGAGATTTTGATGTTTCTTCACTAAAACGTAAATGTAAAAAATTTATCTGAAAATGTTTAGAGTTGATAAGAACTGAAAAATTAAACACTGCGGCTTACCTCTGCTGGTACCTTGTATGACGAGGACTTAAGTCAGAATGAAAATGATCACTCTTTAACATTATTGAATCACGACCGGTATGAGTAGGAGAAATAGTCATCTTTGTTCTATATGATACTGATAAGTGGATTGTACCCACAGGTGTACACAATTGACCTACTCTGACATTTTTATAATTATCTCCTAAAAAAGGATTTAATTTACACTCTGTTATCATTTTGTTGAGACTAAGGATACTTTTACACTTACAAATTCAGTGACTGTTTAATTCATACTTCCACCAATTGAAACGGTTTTCATTAGATAGAAAAATGAGCGTGTGAATTTTTATATGGAAAATTAAATTAAGTATGATATTTAAAAAAATCTGTTGTAAAATAGAAATCTCATGTAATTGAACTGAACTTTATACCATAAGTAAATTTACATTCTGAGATAGAGAAGTCAGTGAATGAGCAAGTGAAGTACATTTTTGCTTTGTACAGTGAATTTGTTAAAGTTATGAAAAAATATACAATTTCTTAACACTTTGCCGGCCGCTTATTTCTCCAATCGCCTTTACGCTGCCGCCGGCGAATAATACGCGTACATGACCCCGGCCGATAAACGTTGGCGAGCAAAAGTCACGCCAGCGTGACAGCGGCCGGCAGAGTGTTAAAAGTAACATAAATGAAATGAGAGTTTCAGAAAAATGAAACAGTTTCTTACCTAAAGTATGTAGCTGTGGTTCTCCCATATAAATTCTATAACAAATAACATAGGAATCTGGGCCTTGTCTTCTACTCAACTTATAGGCTGGAGTAATTCTTGATACAGACAACAGTGATTTCAACAAAATGCCCATTCTGTTATATACTGTGTATGTTACTCTTATGGTAGGGTCACTGTGTTCTGGTAAAACACCAAGATTCCATGTTTCTAAAACCATTGTGTCACCTTCAACGGTTCTCAGAGAGATTTCAATACAAAGTGGTATCGTCGAATTAACAATTTCCCCACACAATGCCCTTTTAGCTTCACCCAACACTTCTGGTACATCATGAATTGCTAAGTTGAACTATGCAATAAAAAGAAATAAAATGTTTATTAATTCCACATAGTTAATTGAAACATTATTAGTATGCCTGTAATTAGACACTACAATTCAACAGTAATTCACATTTTATGTTTCTAAAATTATTGATTACTAGACTGTGAATTTTTATGCAAAATGATATTTTCTAAAGCAATTCATACAGAGAAGAACAACTGTAGGAATTTCTTTCTTTTCTCAACTATCATATTTGGTTCAGAATAAACCAAAAACTTATCAGGTTTAATGAAAGTTTTGTCCTTTATTGTATTTTACAAACCCCTATAGGCTATAAATGTATAAAATCCGCAGTCTATTGATCACTAATCTGTCCAGTCACATGTGAAGCAATGTCTACCTTAAGTAATATGAAATGTCTTACAAAAAAACTATGCAAAGAATTTTGGACAACATCAAATAATAATTTAACAGTGAATGTTTACACAAAATTATCATTTTATAGACATATATACAAAAATGGAATCTAAATATAAATTTATTAAATTCTTTAATAAAGATTTTGTTTGTTTATTGTGAGTGTATATATGTATAATACCGTCTAACTGTATGGGATCAGGTTTGATAATTAAAGAAAGAGAAAAATATTATCCCATACAAATTTGATACAAGTAATGTGCTAAAACTGATTGGAAATGATTTGTATATGTATCGATTCCATAACTTTTATTATATTGTAACAGAACAATGAGTTAGTGTTCCATCAATCATGAATTTTAGTCCCATACTTTTGGCAGGTAGTGTATGCATACAATAAATAAATAAAACCTTTATTATAGAATTTAATAAATACTACACACACACACACACACGCGCACGCACGCAAGCACGCACGCACGCACGCAAGCACGCACGCACGCACACACACACACTGCACAAAACGCATTTTTAATATCATAAGTTTATGTTCATAGTAATTCTTATAGAAATGAAAAATAAAGTATATTTATGTATGGAACATAAAATTTCTCGTTTTGTTTGTTTTTGTCATGCTATATAAAAATATTGGGTAAATATTTAGAATAGGGGAGGCAGCTTTGATGACCTTGATATATGTGATCAATTAAGTACTATAAAAAATTGCATAAATCTATGACAAGACACTATACATATTTGTATATAATCATATTTCTTATCAAAGCATGTAACATCATCTTATTCGTACAAATATCAATTATTATTTTCCGACTGACATAATGAAGACATAATATCCGTACAGTTAACATTAAATATTGTTATAAAAAATATAGATGCATGTACACCCACGAGCAAACTTGGCTTCCACTATGGGAAAAAGTGACATCGGACAGGAGCCTCCTACCACTTGGTAAATTTAATTCAAGTATGGAAATAAATGTTAAATTGAATGTTAATTTATCATAAATTTCAATAATTACTGAGATGAAGTGATAGGAGGCCCTTCCCCTACAGCACTTTTTTTCCTAACGGAAGCCGACTTTGCTCGTGGATGTACACGAAGATTAGGGATATACTATTATAGTACATACTTAACCTGTTTACTTCATTTGTGTGCTATCAATGTCAGATATATGTAAAATCTTGTCACTTTGATATAAATCAAAATCAATTCATGATATATAGCATACATTCTTTACCATGCACTATTTACATATTAATATTACAAATTGAATATGCATATAACTAAATATCTTAATCATGACAATAAAATAATGGTAAATTTTGCATCATTTATCACTGGATACATATTTAGATCTGTTATGAACAAACAGACTTACCCAATCTGTTCCAGATGAATTTGGTTTGCACTTTGTGCTAACCTTTTCACCTGACCTCGACTGCACTATAATTTGAGCAGCTTTCAATGCCAAGAATTTGGTGAACTTATCCAGGTCCTTTTTATCTTGCATACTCAATTTTAGAGTGGACATTTTAGGGTTACTGTTTTCTTATTATTCTATTTCAAGAAACACAATTATTCAATTGAAACATCTGATACTATTAAACTGAATAAAATTTTGACTGTGCCAAAACATCCTTTTTGACTGTCTTTAAAGTTACATGATGATCGTTTTTTACACTCGCACGTGTGAACCATCGTACGCGAGTCAACCAACAATTCCACTTTTTTCCTAGGACTTCCTAATGCGAGGAATCCAGCCGAAAAAAAATAATTTAACATCAGCATGGACATCATACCGTTGCATTGTGTTATGCGTATAACTGTATGGCAGGTGATAATATATATGTATACCGAGTTGATTCAGTTTTATTTTAAATAGATTCAGGTCACTGTCGATCCAATGCAACGCGAGAAATTCGAAAATATTCAAATGAACTGAAAATCTGAGTATCGCAAAGTATTACTTATTACTTTTCCCGGACAATACACTGTCTGACACCGTCGAACAAAATGCAGGAAGTCATGCAATACGTTCAATTGGCAGATTGGCACCAGTGATGCCAGACATGCCAGAATCGTGGTCAATCGTGGTACTTGATACCCCCACTATGACCTACCTGGATCGCCTGGACCTACCGTCGTCTCCCACATTACTTCCAATTATTTCCACCAACTTCCAATGTCTTCCACCGTGCTGATCATAGACATATATAGACGGAGCATAAGCTACCACTTTGGGTAAGGGGACTGTAGGATTGGAGGAGAAAGGCAGCGGCACAGCCGACTCTAGTACTAGCCGTGCTGAAGGTAAAAATGGCAATAACGCGTGAGTCCGGCTTCAATATAACCACTCAACCTACCATATCAGTCTCCCAACTCCCAGGCCTCTCGTTTTCTCCGGCCTCCCGGCTACTCAGTCTCCCTCTACCGGCCTCTCAGTTTCCTGCCTCTCCTTCAAATGTTTAGATTATTGTAATCCTCCGAAGGTAAGAAACAGTACAATAATCCAGGTAAATTTTATTTATTTATATTAACTCTACATATCATTTGTTTGTGCGTAGCACATTTATTTAATAAAATCTATAGCCATTTTGCAAATTTTGTTTTACATATATTTTTCTTTAGAATTTTCATATGTTTATTAATAATGCCATGGTGTTGCTGTATTCCCAATTGTAAGGGAAATTATGGTAGTACCTTAAAAGATAGTAATTATATATCTGTATTTGTATTCCCCAAAGATGAGGAATTGCGGAAAAAATAGATGACTGCTATTCCTTGTAAAAATTGGACACCAACAAAATATTCTGCCGTTTTGCAGTGTGTATTTTGCAGAAAGTGATATTCAAAGATAGTGATAACCTCATTTATTCATATGTATGCAATAATGGAAGTCATAATAAATGACGGCCATTTGGAATTTCAATTTTTGCAATCTGAAAATCATAAATATATTTTACGTAAATTAACATATATTAGTATTCAATCAGATATACATTATTTAGCATGTTCAAATACATGCATTTGTGGTCAAAGTTACCAAAGTATTTTGTTTAAATTATTGTCCATTTTTTCGAATATTTTATTAAATGATTATGTGAAAACTGTAAATAATAAACTGTTCTCTAACATGAGTTTATAATTAACTGCATAATTGTTCCTTTCAATAGCGAATTATCCTAACCTCTTTTCCACATGTCCCTTAACCTGTTTGGCATCGTACAAATAATTTTGTCTATTTCAGGTTTCTATTAACATATACATACCTTTATCAATTTTTAAATGCTTCAATTTGATTCAAAGATGGTTTTATCATGCTCCACACTTATATTTTCTTGAAACCACTGTAAATATTTCAAACATAATGCATCACAACACTAAACTATTCAGAGTGTCCACAAAATATATACCACATTTATAAATATTAGCGGTGGTAAGACTACCATAAGAGCTGTGTTGAAAACTCAAATTTTAACAAGCTTTTTCTTATTTATTTGATCGGCACCGAGTCTCAAATTTTTTGGTGTGTATTTCATTCTAATAAACAATCTGCATGAATTTTATTTAATTATCTAGTCTTTCGAATTTAGCACGAACCACCTTAAGTATTCATTTTTTATTTCAAACACCCGCCACAGTACACCATATTGAATTTTAGTTGACCCATTTCCGCAGATTAACTGTGGCGGCGCCAAAAACACTGTTCGATTCATTAACACGTGAGTGTCAACCCCCAGAACAACGTTCGGTAAATTGAAAGTTCTAAAGTGAGTGATAAGGTAGTGATACAGTTTATTAAATGTGTATCAAATAAACTTGTAAATAGTATGTGATTCAAAATATACAAATAACAATAAGAATAGTTATAAAAAGTTTGGAAAATCTAGTCAAAATGAATTTGGTAGTGGCTTTAAAATTTTACATTACACGAATGACAGAAGAAAGTGGTCCTGGCATGAAAGTTCTTTTGATGGATAAACAGACGGTAAATATTTTTTATACATTTCGATATAAATATTTCACTTTGATGTTAAATAAGATTGTAAGCTATTACAAAATAATTCACCCATCGTACAGATATTAGAAACTATATATTTTGTGAATATTTGAAAAAAGACAATTATAAATACTAATTTATACCTTTGTTGATTTAGTGTTGCTAAATAAAGGAGATTTATATCATTATGTACTTAGTCTATCTTAATGGAGGGCAAACAACAGAATTTAAACGAATAGTATCTATACATTTTATGTTTGACAGTAGCAAAATAATACAAGGTACATGTAGATACAATGTAATAAAATATCTGTAACTGACAATTATTTTTTCGCTTTTCTTTTCTTAAATGATGCTTTAGTTATGAATACATAAGTTTTTTATTTATGTTGTTTTATACTCAAAAAACATAACATATTTAAAGATTTTTAAAACTCCTGTTTTATTTAATTAGATATTCAAATTTTTATAAAAATTCAATTATCCTTTTGAACAATCTGTTTCTTATCTAAACTTCATAGAAATAAAATTACAACGTATGAAGGTACCTTCTTTGTAGTTCTTTCCTTCGACGTCTATGTATTCATATTACTGTACTTATATCATTTAATGTAAATGTCAACTTCTTAATATTTTCAAACTTCTATGTTGCTTAAGCTAGATTTTTTTGCATTCTCATATAAGGGAAGTATTCAAGGTAGTATTCCTTTATGATTTTAGCATGTTATCGTACAATAATAGTAAGACATTAAATATAGATATTAAACAACTTTTAAAATATAAATAATGAAACATGCATACCTTCTGTAAGATATTTTAAATGTGGAGGAAAAGTACCACAGCTACTATATATACATAATTGAAGGAAGAATTCATGTTACAAAACTCGTGAGTTTGAATTCCACAGGTGGGAATACTAGTTCTTTTTAATTATTATTCATAATGAAGACAGTGTGGTAAAATTTGGTAGATAATACTCAACATACATACATATCCCAATAATGTAACAACTAAATATGTTTAGTATACCAGTGAACTATAGTTTTCCATTAGACTCTGTAAATTTTCTATGAAATTGGGTTGAAGTAATTATAAACGCACTCATAGGCCATTTGTTGAATTGTATAAAAAAAAATTTTTAAACAATATGAGCTCTATGCCCTGTATTATTGTTCCGATTAAACTTACACCTTTCTCTAGTACTTATACAAAAAATATTTTTTACATATTATTTTGCATATTTAAGTATTCATTTTTGCTATGATTATATTATGTCGCCCTGTAAAAATGTCCAAAAATGTTTTGCGACCCGGAAATGGAGCACTCGGGGGGTGAACTAGAACAATTTTTTCCTCAGCAACAATGTAATCTGAGGCTTCGTTACCGAGATATTAACGAAAAATCGCGACCAATCAGAGCGCGAGTTTGCCAGCCGAGTTCCCGCGCTAGCGGTGGCTACGCGCTACGCTTGTACTACGAAGCTCCAAACAAGTAGGTCTGCATGCATCGCAGGAAACTGCGTATAATAGCAAATAAGAAAAACATAACAAATCGAACTTTTTTTCATCTATTGTTTGTCATTTAAAGTGATGAATGAATGAAACATAAATGTAAGAAAATCATGTGTAACGTAAAAAGACGAATACACAATTATTTTAAATTGTGAATTTCCTTCTCAAATAACGTATTAACGAAAAGGTAATGTAACAGTGATCGTAGTTCGTTATTGACATAAAAATCCTTAGTTCAGTAACGGGCTACAGTGATACTGATTACAAATAATTGTTTTTAAGAAACCCGAGGAAAAATGTACGTACGGAAACTTGCAGAATTATTGCCGTGAAAAAGTCATAGGTTGCGTTAAATTAAAAAAATAATAGATAGCAATTGATATCATCTGGTATTGCCAGATCGTCCTGGACTAAGCCTTTAGTCTCAGCGAACTCGATAGTAAGTTCTCCTCTTGCTGAATATATTTGATAGAGCTGTTTCCATAAAAGTATTACACAATAATAAGTAAACATGGACTCTGATATATACATTTGCAATTCACGGTCATACCGTACTTGCGCATTGTAAAAGGTCCGGCAGAGAGCGAGATAGCCCGAAAAATCAAGTTGAAACTCCCTCTGCCGCTGAGTCTCGGCCAACTCTCCCAGTCCTTCGATCAACAAGTAATCTTTTCCAAGGAAGGGATCATTATTTAACGGTGTTGTTGTCCTAGAGACGTTCGCAGGTGCGAATACATATTTACAAAATGTAAAATATGTCACAAACTGTTAATTTTTTCTCAACCTATAACAAAATTATTTGTGCTGTTATAGTCCCCCTGATACCAGATACGTTTTGTGAATAAAATTTGTTTATACCTGTAGAAATAATGAAGATAATTAATGTGATTAAAGTTACTGGACCATTGTTTATAATGCATGTATAATTGAACAGTGTAATTGTGAATAAAAGTGTAGAAAAATACAAGTTAGTGATTGCAACCAAATACAGTAAGGAGTAAAACTGAACCAATATGACTATTTTTCCAGGAAAATAAGTTATTCATTTAGATGTTACTAATATGAAGTAACAGAAAAGCTCAACCTGTATATGTATAATTGTACACCCATTTCAGTTTAATAGACAATTAATGTTTTAACTTCATTACATTGAGTTTATTAGGTATAATATTTTACTTCTGTATTTCATACAATTTTCATAATATTTTTAAGATATTCAATCCTATTGTTCTATGATTTTATTATTGAGAACCTTCTGTTAATATTTTCCAGTAGAGATGACTGGACAAAGAATTAAACATTTACTAATACTTTTATACATATATTCAGAAGTGTCTTGGATGTAAAATATTATAAGTAACAAATTGAAGAGAATATACTGAAAAAATTAATTGTTTACATATGGAGTCCACGTCTGCTACAAGGCCGAAGCAATTAGGTCGTAAATAACCGAAACGTCCGCTCCGGCCTCTGCTAAGGTGCTCGGACAAGGCTAAGCAGCGTCAATTCAACATGTGTTCGTGAAATTTTTTTTCCTGCTCCTCGAGAAAAACGTAGTTTCTTCTTTCTATCTCGAAGCAATGGATATCCTGGCAGTAAATTAACGGATCCCGCGCTTCGGTGAAACTGCCGGACGGTTCGTTCGTTGCACTTCTGCAAAGCACGTGTTTTCCCAGAACGCTGGTTTCTTTTTACCTAAATCGTGTGGCCGCGGTGGGAGTGAACTCACAATGTAACGATGAGAAACTACTTGGGGGTAGAGGAACTCTTACGCAAAAGTCAGTCGGTTAGCAATCGGGCGACAGGGATGTTCAGTTCACGGGAGTATTACGCAATGTGGCACGCACAGAATAACGGATATGTGGCTGCTGCTGTATAAGTGTGTGGTGACGTAGAACATCTGATAAATTGAAAACAATTGGGGCCACGAATTTTCCTAACGTACGAACAACACGTTTGATTAAAAATACATTAAGTGATTGTGTCGGGTGATCAGTGTTAGTGCCCGTGCAGTGAAGTGAATACGTATTCGTTGGAAAAACCCTGACGCATTTGACGTTACAACCCTTAACTTCAGCTGATGAGGTATACCTGCGATCACCAGCGAACTAGGCGTTACCCTTTTTTTTCTAACGGGGGGGAATCCTTGATGAAGGTGCACCGCCTTCGCTGGGGGCGGAGACGGCCAATACGGGGTTTCATCCGCTAAAACCCCCCGGTGACTCTCAGGCAACGGGGCTCGTAACGGGAACGCTTATCATGACCACGACCAGCCCTGCCCATTGCCCTTCCCTACAGATGGTTAAGAGGTGGACTCTTCTCTAGGGGGGGGGGGGTGTAGCGATTGCTTCCCCTCGTGGGACGGCTGTACGTGCCGTCCCTCAGCCTCCTACCTACAGCGCCGAGGGGTCACCTCTCGACGCTGTTCTGTCGTGGGCCGACCGCGAAAGGAGGTACTGTACCCCCAGTACTATCCCCTCGGCCCAGTTGTTCCGCGGGCAACGCGAGGGTCATCGCGACTGTGACCTTAAGAATCGCGCCACGTGCGGGGCAACCCCTTGTCTTACAGCGGTGCAACCTGCACCGTTGTATGTAGAAGAGGAGTTCGGCGGTTCAGGATGCTCGACGGCCCTCCGTTCCGATCCCACCTCGGGGGGGGGGGCAGCAACAACTTGCCGCCTCCGCGTCCGCCTCACTTCTTTTCTTTCGCCCAGAGCGGGATCGGACCTTCCCCGATCCCGCTCGGTTGCCTCCTTCCGTGTGAGGATTTCCTCACAGAAGGAGCCACGGCGTCCCACGACCTCTCGTCGTGGACCATGGCTTCTACCAAGTTCCACGATTCTGGAATCACTGGGTGAGGGATTTTCCTACGGCTGTGTGGAGGCATTACATGCGTGCAGCATTTCTTCTCCTCATCGCCCTTCAGTCGCTTTCTCCCCTTCCTCTGCGATGTGCGAGCGAGAGAGGAATGACTCCATCGCTACTTCTGTCCTACGGTCTCGCTTCATCCCTACCATAAGATCGCGCAGTCTATTATACAGGGTGGCCCACATAACTCTTAACAGCTCAATATCTCGAAAACTATGCCATCGATTTTAAAGTTCTTGGTCTTAAATTGCATGAATCTGAAGGGCCTTTCTAACTACATAAACGTGTAGTGGCCCCCCTTCCCCTTTAAGGGGGGCGGGGGTACCTTTATAATTTTAAATGGAATCCCCTATGAAACGTTACATATTTAGATTCTACAGGAAAGAACAAGTCAATTTTGTCTGAAACATTTTTTTATCAGATATTTCTATGATGAGATATAACAGTTTGAAGTTTCGACTTGTACGTACTTACTTGAAGAGCTCGGAAATTGTGAAAACATTATTAAACTCATCGAAGGCTTACTGTAGCCAAGAATCGTAGAATATCTTTCGTATATAGTTTGTGTCACTTTTCATTATTTTTGGTTCAACAAGTTGTAGAAATTTTTCAAAATCTTCGGTCAATATTTTGCAGAAATTTCGGAACATTTCATTTCCTTCTTCTTCCTGCAAGTCCCGTAACAGATGGCTTCCACTATACCGTTGTCTGTTTTCGAACAGTGAAGTTTACCACCATCGTTTATCTTGTTTTCTTTATTTTTATTTTTTGCACTTAACTTCAACACAATAAAGGCAGCACTTGCGCAAACAAAATTTTTTCGTATTCATTATTTCATAATCTGCTCGCGGTCAGTCTTCGGATCAATTGCGAACAGAAATGAATTCGTTCCAGTGTGGACGTAGGGCGAGCATTTCAGTTGAACACGAGCGAACCCTTGAGAGCTCTTGCGATCACGAGCGAATGTCATATGATATTTTTGGGTGTATATAAAAAATGGTTTTCTTCTATACGAGTACTGTTACAAAGATTAGATATACATTTAATTTGATTAAATTCAGTTGGTCTAAAATTTTCATAATCGTCAGGAAACTTTTGATTATTATTCTTACTAGTCTAGGTTTTACATATAGTAATAAACGATCTGCGACTGCCCCTGAGTTTGGCCGCCCAGGTGCGGGGGCACCTTCTGCGCCCCCGCTAGGAACGGTCCTGTATAACATATGACAGGTACAATGTTTATACCATAGCACAGACGAGATATAAGAATAAACCTAACATCTTATGGGACTTGGTGTCCCACGAAAATCACGCAGGTTCGAGCACACCTCTCCACAAAAGTTTCCGATTTCAGGAACTATGTTCGACACCGTGATAACAGGCAGCACACACACGTCCATTACTACATATATCAATACATGCATACAATATTGCCCCGGTTTCGCTAGCAAAGAATGTAATACTAGTATGGTAAATGGGGGCTTCTGACGCCCTCAAAGCATGGGACACAAAATTACATTGCATGTTAAATCTATTCTTTTATCTCGTCTGTGACCATAGACACGTATAATAGACTGCGCAGTCTTATGGTAGGGATGAAGCGAGACCGAAGGGCAGAAGTAGCGATGGAGTCATTCCTCTCTCGCTCGCACATCGCAAAGGGAGGGGAGAAAGCGACTGGAGGGTGCTGAGGAGAACGAATGCTGCACGCATGTAATGCCTCCACACAGCCGTAGGAGAATCCCCCACCAACAGCCCCATTAGAAAGAGAGGTCTGTAACTCCTTTTTTTTTTTTTTTCGTGAGGAAATGCGTTACGCACACCCCCGGACCCCCCGACGGGGGAGGGGCGGGGGTAGTGTGGGGCTCACCCCCCGGGCTGGATGCCCGGGAGGGATACCCACTAAACCCTCGCGGTGGCCGGGCTCGGCGCTGTGCGGGGAGGCACCGGGATCTCTTGCGAACACAACCGGTACCTCCCCAGCGCCCGCTCCGCCAGTGGACGGCGGAGCGCCCTCTCTGTGGTGGGGGAAGCGAGAGCTTCCCCCCCGCCGGACCGCGGGTGCCACAGTCCCGCGATCCCAACAGTCCCTTTTAGTCGCCTCTTACGACAGGCAGGGATTATCGTGGGCGTATTCTGTCCCCCGCCGCACAGGGGAGAGGTCTGTAACTCCATGTATTATCCTCTCACTCTACTGCCAACCTCATCCCTACCATAAGACCGCGTCTATTATATATATCTATGCACCCGAGCTCCTCTGATCTATATAGTATACAGGGTGAGGCACTTAAAATCCTATTGGTGATAGGAAAAAGTGCATCAGGCCAAAATTATTTGGTATCGAGGGGCTGATTATCCGATGTTACTAGTTTTTTGATAGGTGGAGGCCTCTAGGAGATATGAAGGTCATCTCTGTTTTTTTAAATGGAACGTTATGTCTTTTTACTTACATTCTGATAGAGTATTTCAAAATGAATACAATGACCTATTGGAAAGGTCATTCGTGGTCTGGATTAAGCCAATTGTGATGGAAAATAATTTACTTTGAGGAAATAGTCGTACACTTCCTTGCCGTCTCTGGTTGTTGATATTATTACTTCATCTCTGTGTCTCGTAATCTCTTCTTATGGGTCGTTGAATGGAAATAAACATTCAATCACGCAACATTCAATCTCTGCCGGGCGAAGTGTATCTCAAGTTTCCGAAATGGGTTATTCAATAGCGGAGAAAGTAGATATGGTTTTCGTTTATGGGGAATGTCGCCAAATTGTAAGAGATGCAGTCCGTTTGTATGCTGAACAGTTTCCCGAACTTGTCGCACCTTCACGATCTGTATTTACGAATGTTATTAAAAGTTTTCAAGAAACTGGACGTGTAGGTAACAAGATACAAAGAAGATCCAAGGCAGCAACTGATGATCGAAATACAGTGAACATTTTAGCAGCTGTAACACAAAATCCCCGTGAGGCTAGCTACAAGGCAGCTAGCACGTGAAAGTGGCATTAGTCAACGAAGTGTTTTGCGAATATTACATTTAAATAAATTCCACGCTTTTCATGTTGCACTTCACCAAGAATTACATGGGAATGATTTTCAGAACCGTGTAAATTTTTGTGAATGGGGTCCGCAGAAATTACAGAGTGATGAGCTGTTTTTGACTAAAGTTTTGTTTACAGACGAAGCCACATTTACAAATTGTGGCCAAATCAATCGTCATAATATGCCTTATTGGTCAATAAAAAATCCACGGTGGCTGCGAGAAGTGGATAAACAAAGATCTTGGTCTATAAACGTTTATAGACCAAGGTCTTTGCACACCTGCCGAAAAATTTTCCGCTTCACATACGGCAAACTATGTGGTTCCAACAAGATGGATGCCCTGCTCATTCTGCACGGATAATTACTCAATTCCTCAACGTGACATTCGGAGATCGTTGGATTGGTCGTGCAGGAAATCATAAAGGGCCTGCACGTTCTCCAGATCTAACACCTCTGGACTTCTATTTGTGGGGAAAGTTAAAGCAGCAAGTGTATAACGAAATACCAACAACCAAAGAAGATATGAAAGAGCGTATAAGAAGAGCATGTGCCGCGATAAACACAACTGAAATTCAACATGCCGTATTATCCGTGAAGCAACGCTTTAGATCATGCAGCAATGTTCAAGGTCACCATTTTGAACACTTGTATTAGTCGTGTATTACTGTTAGATAAATAAATCAACGGTGCTTGATTATTTCCTCAAAGTAAATTATTTTTCATCATAATTGGCTTAACCCAGACCATGAATGACCTTTGCAATAGGTCATTGTATTCGTCTTGAAATACTCTATAGAAGTTATTTTCACGGACCAGGACTGTGAATTAGGTGCAATCGTACGCATCGTCGAATACGTTACTGTCTCATTATGTCAAAAGGGATAATTAGGAATTTCAGAGAGTTTGAAAGGAGCGCTGTAAATACTTAAAGAAACCTGTTACCGTGAACACAGATAGTCCATATTGAGGACCGGACAATTTAAAATTGAATGCTTTTACTTACAAGGGAAGTTTCCGAACCCGACAATTCTTATTTTAATGAAACTTCGCATGAATGTAAAGCATATTGAACAATGCTTGTAGCAATTTTTTTTCATGCCTGTTTTCACTCTGAACTCATTTATTTTCTTTTCTATTTATTTTATAAGTCGGTTAATAGAATTCCACATGTAAAACTTTCTGTAAGTTACAAAATATGAATGACACAGATATCGTGTATATGCATAAGCATATAAGTACAAAAGTGGAAACTTGTTTTTGCAAATAAAAAAATTTATATAAATTATATGCTTTTATAATTTAATAAATCATTGATAAATGCACATTTTTTGCATGCAATGACTACCTTTGCCTCTTACGGTTAATAATTTACATATAAAATAACAAAAAAATCATTTTGTTTATAAATGACACATCGTAGGAAATTTTTCTTTTGGTAACGTAATAGATCATACAAAACTAAACAATTTATGTATTTACAGTTTTGCTCTATCTCGTACCGTTACAAAGTTATGTGTATCAAGAAAACGAAAAAACGCGAAAACTTTAAGGGCTGATTTCACCCCTTCAGACTTCAGAGTGAAAACGGGCACGAAAAAACATTGTTCTAAGCTAAGCATAGTTTAATATGCTCTACATTCATGCGAAGTTTCATTAAAATCAGAATTTTCGGGTTCGGAACCTTCCCTTATTAGAATTGAATATGATTAATTACGAATGTATGTAAGCCAATAAAAATAATTAATACAAATTATTCTTAGTAAGAATTTACATATTTACAGACAAGTGTCGTGAGTTCGTTGTATAGTAAATCGGAAATCTTCACGAAGGAAGTTTACCTGTTCGAAAGAATTGACACAAACACTCGAAACGAGGGATTAAAGCATTTGAAATGTATAGTGTTCGTAAGACCAACAGAAGAGAATGTCGAATTACTGTGTAATGAATTAAGATGCCCTAAATATGGAACATATTATATTTGTAAGTAGCAATTCAATGTTTTTATACTTTCTTGTTTGATGTGTTTATATTTTCTAGTGTATCGTATCGGACATAATTGTACGAACCATTCTATTTTTTTTTTGTTGCGTTGATAATTAAACAAATTGTTTACGTTATATTAACAATTAAATAATAACTTCATTTCACATGCCGGATACCCAGTCGACTGTTTGGAAATAAATTTTGCTTGTTTTCACACAAACGGATTATTTTAGTTAGTTGATTAAGTAACATCACAAAGAAAAAACTCAGAATCTATCAGAATCTTTCTTACAATAGATTTGATCGTTTTATCAATACTGAATCGTACAAAGATAATAGAAAATACATTGAGAATTTTAATCTATAGTAAGACACTTAAATTATAGTGGCATTCCACTTATTTGCAATTTTCAATTTGATAAATATTGAAAGCTTAACTGCGTTCGAATAACTATAGCCGATATTGTATCTCCATGATAAATATTTGAATGGAATAATATGTTTTGTTTCTTTAACAATATATGTATATTAGGGTGGCTCTTATTTACTCTTGATGAAAATTTTTGTCAACATTTTCTCGCGGCATCCCACAGAATAGTTTCAATTAATAAAAAAATAATCTGTGCAAAATTTGAGCTCAATGGGGTAACGGGAAAACGTACCCTCAGACTCCTAAACATTAAAATAATTAATTAAAAACTCAAAATCGGTTTCTGAAGCATCATAACTGACTAACAACTTTGAACGGTAGATACCGGGTGTACTTTCGAAACTGATAATAATTTGTACCCCGAATTTTTAACAAATAAAGACTAAAAACCTGTGTTTTATTTATTTTCGACCTTAAAGGACTATTCTTAGGAAATTAAAAAACTTTTTAAAAATGTCGGTAATGGGTATAGCAGAATGAGGGGTTCAAAAGTACCCTTAGACCGATTTTGACTTGTGATATACCATTCGATAGCTTGTCAAGAAAAAATAGTCTGTGCCAAGTTTCCACCCTCCATTTATTTTTATTCAACCCTCTGACGTGCCCGTGTTAGAGAGAACAACCGCCCTCCGTCAACCGTATGACCACCCGGCGCAGTTACTGTACATAGCTATGTATATATTGTTACGTCGTCCGCGATTTCACCCGGAAACAAAGTCTCCCCTCCCGGCCCATCGCCACCGGTCGCGTCCCCGCGAGTTTTCCTACCGTTTTCCGGGCGCCAGGTACTACTTTGAGTACCGACCGATATTCCCTGAATACCGGAGCGAAACCTAAGTCTCCTCCGATGAGGCCGAAATCCAACGACCGGCCGGGAAGAAAGCAACCACCGCTGGATAGCTCGATATAAAGGTGGCCAGGGTCCGCAAATACCGGAACAATAGACTCTCCCCGCGACAGGAGTTACCGATGGACGATACAAACAAGCAAGAGAAATCAAAGAACGCTCTTCGGGACCGTTTAACAAATCAAATAACAAGTTTATTAGATTTCTCGCGCTAGCCTCTGCCGAGATCGCGTTACAACAGGTGGTAATTAGAATAACAAAACAAAAAGAATATAACTGGCCGACGGTCGATTATCGTCGCGACCCGCGCCCTCGATACAACCGAATTTCGGTACGATACACTATTTCCGTAATTTCGTGGTCCACGATCACTCGAGATGTTACATTACTCTGTACAGAGCACGGTCGTACGGTATTACGCTACCGCCGACTATAAAAGATGGTACAATGACTTGAGGGCATTCGCATTACGATATCGCGCTCTGGAGGAAATCTGCTGGGTATTTTCGATATTCTATTTTCCAACAAACACATGGTTCTCCGCGCGTCCGATAGCGAGATGAGACGTTAGATTTTACTACCGCGGCATTGTCCTGGCGGACGAGATCTAGATTGCTTTACGGAACCCAAATGAGAAGGCTAACTTACGGAAGTGCGATATTCCCTTTCCTGTCGCTTTTCGCTCGACCTTGCGGGGTGCCGCTACCCTCTGCCTCGTCAGCTCAGCTCTCGCCCACCCTCGCGATCGCCACCACCTCACACGCCACGCGGTATTCGGTATTCCTTTTTTTACGTGAGGGAATGCATTTACGCACACCCCCGCCATCCTCCAATGTGGGAGGAGTGGGGCGGGGGTAGTGTGGGACTCATCCCCAATAGGGCAAGGCCCAGGGGAAATACCCACTAAACCCTCACGGTGGCCGGGCTCGGCGCTATGTGGGGTGGCACCGGGATCTCTTGCGAACACAACCGGTGCCTCCCCAGCGCCAGCTCCGCCAGTCAACGGCGGAGCGCCCTCTCTGTGGTGGGGGAAGCGGGAGCTCCCCCCCCACCGGACCGCGGGTGCCACAGTCCCGCGATCCCAACAGTCCCTTTTAGTCGCCTCTTACGACAGGCAGGGATTACCGTGGGCGTATTCTGTTCCCCGCCACACAGGGAAGTATTCGGTATTCCTAGACTTACGACTGCCGCTCAAGTGACAATTTCGGGGCTCGTTACGCGACGCCATGACATAGTGGGCCCCCCACTGTGCTATCTTTTCTCTCCACGTACCCCCTTCGACTCTTGCGGAGCCCAGCTCCTTACGGCTCAGGGACGACGCGCCGTTGAAGGATCCCCAGGCCTTGGAGATTCCTTCCGCTGTGTGAGGAGTCCAGTCTTACACCCTTCTACGTGGTTGCTGCGGCTCCCCACGGGTCCTCGTCCTTCTGCTTCCTCCATTTTTGGGTCCTTCGGAGGGAAACGTCCGGGTCGTCGATACCAGTCTTGCTGTCTGTTACGTGGTGCCCCTTCCGCCGACCAAACGCTTCACGAGTCTTGCGATCGTTGCCAGGGAGGGCCCTTTTTCCTCCTGTTCTATCCCCCTGGGATAGAACCCTTATCCGGTTGAGCGACCACTCGACGGTATTTCTGGGCGGTCCTTGTAGCAGAGTCTGTGGACACGGAGATAGACCAGCGCCCTGCGTGTCGTATTGACCCCGATCGATATGGCCTTGAAAGCGCGAGCGGTAACTCGGAGCGAGATTACCACGTGATTAATTCAAATTTGGTCGGTAATATTTCCCTAAGAATCCTCCAAGAGCGCTTAGATGTTACATTGGTGCGAGTGAGAGGCGGCGGAGGGCGGTCCGGTTCTTCCGCGCCCGAGTCAAATTTCGGGTCGGAAGGGGCACGGCGCAAAATGCGTCGTAACAATATATAGATAAATAAACCTGTATTTACCACCGAGAACCTCACTTGTCTAGTCAATTCAAACGACTCTGGCGTACCGACTGAGTCGGCACCCCGCTCCTCTCGCTCTACCGGCGACGTACGTTCATTAGTTTAGAAGATAATCGACTAAAATCATTTGGATGAGTATTTAATTAATTATTTTAATGTTTAGGAACCTAGGGGCACGTTTTCCCGCTACCCTATCGAGCTCAAATTTTGCATAGATTATGTTATTATTAATTGGAACTATTCTGCAGGCAGCCGCGACAAAAATTTGTATTAAGAGTAAGAGCCTCCTTAATGTACATATTGTATTGTGTAATAAGTTTGTCCGCGTCGATGATGGTATATACATATGTATACACATTTCGAGAAGTATTATCTGATATTGCTGCGTTATTAAATATTTCATAAAAATAGTTCATAAAAAGAGTAAAATTTATTTTACCTTAATGTACATAGAATTAGTTCGAAATGAACCTTCATATGCTGCTTAATTCGTGTTACGCTGTTATCGATAATTTTAAAGATTTCAGCAACATTATTGCCAAAGCGGATATTAAACTTTTGGCTGAAAACGACGAACAAGAAGTGGTAAAGGAAGTGCATGAATACTATGCAGATTATTTAGCTATTAGTCCACACTTATTTTCACTTGGAATCAACGCCTGCTCACAGGGTAATGAAATTATATGATTTGATAATTTATAATATAGCAATAGGATTATGAAAATACATAGCTCTATTTGAATGCAATTTCACTATTTATTATGAATAATTAACATTAATTATTAAATATAATCATTAATTATTATATTAATAATCGGAGCCAAATAAGACAGTAAAGTAAGTCCCTAAACCAAATTGAACTTACAATAGATATTTGACAGCTTCTCAAAAGAAATAAATTTTTGCCAGATTTCAATCCTGTTTTGACAACGGGGCAGAGATGGGCAAAATTTTATCTAGATAAACTGGAAGAAAAGATAATTTATTATTATCCGTTAACGAACCTTCGAATAACTGGATTCGTCTTTATTTGAAACAGCACGGATAAATAAATTATTCGAAATGAATTTATTCGAAAGTGAAAGATAATTTTTTTATTCAAACGGAATTTATTCGAGCCGTAGATTAAGGTTTTCATCTTTATTCGTACTTTTATTCGTAGGCTGGAATAAATCTCCAATTTTATCCGAACGGGCGCGAGTGTTAGGCGACGGCGTCTAATGTCTCGAGCGTTGGCTCGAGAGTCATACATTGTTGCATGCTATCGATTATGTATTAATAGTATGGACTACTTTTGCATTTTAGATCTGATCGGCGTGAACGTTGCAGTAACATACGGATAACGTTTTTCAGATGAAAATGAATCTAAACACGGTATAAATCTGATTATTTTTAGCATTATTACGTTAGGGTTTTCTTTATCTATCGCTCGGTTGAGATGCGTTCTGGGCCCATAACCTGTTAGAGCAGGATGGTGTTTACCGAGAAAATGACACACACCGATCCGATATAACAGAGTTTAATTAAGGGTATGAAAATGGTGTATAAGTCGTACGCGGACACGTTCCCGCCTCGAGTCACGACAACAGAAGAACGTATACCACCGCTGCATATGTTAAGAGACAACCAAAGGTCGCCCGTCAGGCTCGTAACGCACACACAACGGAACTCTGTCCTAACAAAATTCCGTTTGAATAAAAAAATGATTTTTTCCGGTGGAATAAATTTCCTTCGATTAAAAAAATTATCTTTCTCTTTCGAATAAATTCATTTCGAATAATTTATTTATCCGTGGTGTTTCGGATAAAGATAAATCCACTTATACGAAGTTTCAAATAACGGATAAAAATGAATTATCTTTTATTTGAATCGTTATTTAAATAACATTTTATCTGGATAATGCCCATCTCCGTCACAGGGTTATAACAGGGAAAAAAACATGATTTTTTGTTTTTGCTCTAATTCATATATTCTATTACCTGGGGAATTCTACAAAAATTAGGCTCATTGTAATGGTAAAGAATTTTTTCCGACCTTTCGTTGGAAATTTTAGTTATAAAAACTGAAAACCCCAGACAAATGCTAAAAAAACACCAATCTCTTAAAAAATGTTTCGAAGTGACTAGATTTATATTTTTGTAGTAACGACATCTTATTATATTTATTATTCTCAAATTTCAACATTTTTAGTAATGTGCGTCCTAATTAAAAAAAATTAAAAACTGATTTTTCAGTCAGACTCGTTTGTTTTACGTTAATTTTTGATAATCCAAGAGTTTACTAAGTCAAATAAATTGACATTAGGTTCTTATCTCTACTAGAACCAAATGTAGAGTTTGCAATGATGATATAGAGTGTTACGAGCTCGGGCCGTAGCAACGCGAGAGGCCGGCAAGTTTAGGTTTTCCAAGGAATATGGTATCAGTTTATTAGTACGGTGCGCGGACGAATCTGACGCGAAGCCAGAGAGCCGCTAGGATGTTTGAAAACGAGGACGAACCTGATGCGAAATCAGGGAGCCTCTAAGAATGGAGTCACTAGTGGACGAATCCGATGCGAAATCGGAAAACCACTGGGTTGGAAATACTCTTGGAGAAATGTAATGCACGGACGAACCTGATGCGAAATCAGGGCGCGGTTAGGAAATGTTAGTTAGTGCCTCGTAACCTTTGAATTTATAATTAATAGGGGTGGGAACGGTCGACCTGATATTATTCTAAACTAGAGGAAACTAGTATATCGATAATACTACAGATTTCTGGATCGTGTTATGGATTCAAAATAAACTACACAGATTTATAAAATAACAGTATAATTAATCAGTCTTTGGTTACAAATGTGTTATGTAGTGTTGTCGCGTACTAGTAAGTAATGATGAAATAATAACTATTACCGAAATAAATAGGTGCTCGGTGTTAACGCACTGGCGTTGCGGGGGTTGCGAGTGGATTTTACGGAATAATGCCAAAGTAATAATTTTAGTCGGAATACAAATAAAGTGTTCTTGGTTTACTACAAGTTTCACTGGATTCGAAAGGGAACTTTAGCCCGATCTCACTAACGTAATGACCAACTCACAAGAACGTGACGCGACGTGATTCTAAAGACGACGGTATAGTTCTGATCTCCAGAGGGTTGAAATCAACGGGTTTATATAGGCCTAGAAATTGGTGGGGATTTCATATAATGGTGGGGATTTTCATATAAGGAAATGTTTGACGGTTGAAGTTGTGTCACGCTTCCTAATTTTTTGGTTACCACGCCGTAGGAACGGGTTTTACTCCCTCGCTTACTCAAGAGATCACGAAAACGTAAGGGCGTTTTCCATTGCCGGGTATGAGCTCAGACTATTAGAGCGAGAGGGAGGTATGATAGAAAATTCTTCAACAATCGCCATTAACAATTACATTTTTAATTCGATCGATAGTATAGTCGCAGTGAATAATTGAATTCGATAATTAAGGATACCCTCCGGTCAAAACGCTCGAAAAGTTCGTCATTTCCATGAATTTATAAAAAGACAATGGAACAACACATGGTAAAAAACTGGTTTGATCTTTGTTGCTACATATTTGAAGAATTCAAAAAAATTTTATTGTTTAAATTTCAACAATGTTTCCATAAAATATATAGCACTCAATTTATTACTATACAAATTGGAGGTCTTGACGGGCGCCATCAGAACTCATGATAGGATGGTCTTAAGTCAAAAAAACAAAAACATTCTTGAAATACATATAGGATCGTGAAGTAAACGGTTTTAACTATTTAAAATCTATATATTAAATTCAAGAAAATGACAGCAAATGAAAAATACAAAAGGAACTGATAAACATTACTCTAACAAATAAAACGCACAATGCTATTCTTTCTCCGCCTTTACGCAACTGTCCTGAACTGTCCTTGCTACGTATAACGCACTCGGGTCCACTCGGATCCTGTCGGGCGATCTCGTGCGCCCTTACCGCCCCGTCCCGTGCAGTCGCCGCTCTACATACATGTTAATGGTTATCGCCTTACCTATCCTTAATCCAAAAAAACAATCCGGCGATCTTTGGCACGTGTTTAAACAGAATGTTACAAAAAAACGGACTTTTTCATGCATAAATTTGTCTATAAATAAAATGAGTAATCCAAAGTTAATCTTCGTAGGTAACGCGATAGTAACGTGAATTGTGAACAAAATGTCGCAAGAATTTTTTAAATCAGCCTATAATTAAATTTTTTACCGTGACGCCCGTAGAAAAAAAACGCGTTCCGAGAAAAACGCATTTAAAGTTTTTTTTTCATTCTTGAGTTAATCATACGTATATAGATCAATGTTAAAGGTTTTCATCTTTAATCAGCTATTACTGTACTATACAACAACCCTTCCGTGACTTCATATTCCACTTCCAACTCGCTTTTTTCTTTTGACGCGCTCGTACTACGACGGTTGGCTTCCGCGATGCGCCCTAGGTTTCTCTGAACGGCAAAAATTTTTAGCCTGGCGAACGATATTACTGCCCAATAAGTCCATAATGGTTAGTAAAGTTCGCATATACACTTTTTGAATGCTGCATTATTGTTCTCAGTATTTCTTCCTATACAACGTTTTAAAAGTTCTTTAGAAGTCAAGCTTTTGTATACTGGTTTTACAGTTTCTTGTATTTCTAGATCTAATGGAGGCTTGTGCGAGTATTTTTGTTCAGTCACTTTATACTGTAAGTGAGGGTCAAATCACCGTGTTGTAGATATATGCTTGTAGAATCTATACTTTTGCGAATTTTTGACTGAAATGTTAACAGCATTCTTGAGATTCTATATAATGAAAATATGCAAAAAAATCGATTTTTTCCAAAATTTTGCCCGGAGGGTACCCTTAATTGTAAATTAAATTAATGATGAACTAATAAATTGGAATTTTTAGTTTCATGCACTCATTATAATTACAATGTAGAACAAATTGTTATTTTTTTTAACCGCTCCGATTCCCACTGCGTTTCTAATAAAGTTCCACGCGGTAGTTACAAATTGCAAACTGTTTTGAAGAGAAATCATATCTTTTGTACATAAATAAATTTTGTAATGTAACTATAGAAATATTCAATTGTTGTTGCATGAAAATATTTTGTACATTTTTCTGAATACACTGATATCACTTCTTAATACATTATGACTGATGGAGTACATTTATACCATACAGCTTTTGTATGAACATTTATTTGATATTTTTAATTTGTCGTGAATATATATTATATATAATATATATTGTTGCGTAGGCGCGGCATGACTTCCAATAAATAAAGACAATGTTTATAAAAAGGAATAATTATTTATTTAAAGAGGAGGAGTACTTATCTTGACACGTCTTTTCTGTTCTACGGTCGTACCACGACTCTACTTTGTCCCTATTTTAGACAACGTTACCAAAACGACACCGCTAATCTGAAATCTTGATATAACATTATACAATGCGTACTACCTATTGGGTAACACGTAACAATATACATATATTCGTGTTGTATGGTATGAAGTATTTTTTTTTTATTAAGAGATCTCTTAATTTTGTACCAATTCATTGAGGCATTTTTAAACTTATTTTAAGAAATAAAGGGTCCAGCGTTAAATCGAATCATATAACACGATAATGAACACATTTCGTTAAGGAAACGTCTATAAAAACTTGCAACAGATATTTTTTTTCAAGTTAGAGAGAAGGTAACGTATTTGTACATAAGTAGAGGAAGAAAATAAGTTACTGAATATTATTATTTCGTTGATTTACCTTACATTAAATTATTTATTTTAAATGTAATTTACAGGAAGTATAGATAAAATAGAATTTCAATTTTTCAATTAAAAACTAATATGTACTTGATTACCAATTGATGTAACCAACGATTGATGATTAACGATTAATATTTATATATAATCAAGAATTAACGACTGATTTTGTTAATGTTTTTAATCGTGAGCATTAATTATTCGACTGAAATAAAATGTTAAATGAATTAATGCCCAACAGAAGCTGAAAGTGGGGCGCGAAATGGAACAAAAGACAGTGTCGATGCTTGTGTTCACGACGTACGTGTCTCTGAAAAGCTATATAGGCTTTGAAAAGCAGTACACAAGATAACACGTATTGTAGGTACAATTTAACGTGCGAAATTTATTTTAAAATGTGAATGATAAATGTAGAGTCATTAATTAATGAAGTGCAAAAGAGATTAATTGAGAAGTGCGATCGTTTACGATCGACCGGCTTATAGTTGGACAATCGTTCGCCGTTTACAAAACGACAATCGTCCGTCTTGTGTCTCCGACAAAAACGCGTGTGACCCCGCCTCGAACACTCATCGAGGATTTACTGTGTATTCATAGCGTTTCTACTGAGCTGACAGTTACAATCATAATGAAAAAATACATCTATAGATTCTTACATGTAAAACATTCTATCGTTTATTTTTTCAATTTCCTATATATTCCACAGGTTTACTATGGGTTCCAGTACACTTGCATCGAACTCTCTTAGGCATAATTTCTGTGTTACTATCAGTTAAAAAATGTCCTTATATACGCTATCAAAGTAGCTCTGAAATGGCAAAGAGATTGGCAGAGAAAGTACGAGAAGTACTGAGTAAAGAATCAAATTCATTTGACTTCAGACAAGAAACAAGCCCAGTTTTACTTATATTAGATAGAAGAGACGATCCTGTTACACCATTATTAAATCAATGGACTTATCAGGCAATGGTTCATGAGTTACTAACCATTAATAATAACCGTGTTAATTTGTCACACGTGAAAGGTATTTCAAAGGAATTGAAGGAAGTTGTCCTTAGTGCAGAGCACGATGAATTTTATGCAAATGTAAATATGATACATATTTCTGTATATTGAGTATGATACATATTATGGTGTTTCACAACAGATGGGAGAAAATTTAAGTGGTAATTCTCCATGACAAAGTATTTGGTAGACACTTGTGCGTGATCGCTTTTGTAAATACTTTATTGTTCATTACATTATCCATGCTGATTATTTGTGTGAGTAGGCATGTGCATGGAAAAGTTATTTACCATGTGTATATGAAAATTCTTTATGGGAATTATCATGTATCATTTAGGATTTTTAACAAAAAGTATCAAGATCGTCTGGCATCTTCCAGTGTTGTTAAATTTATTGCACCATCAATGAGGTAAGCTTTTGCTATCCATATGTCATTATTTTTCGCAATGGCTGTACATGCCTCTTTTGAATTTCCCATATACACTCATAATCAACAGATTTCCGGATTAGATTCAAATTTTTAAACACTTATCATTAAAGAACAAAATCTCTATTGTACTTTCATTGCTCTTAAATTTTCTCTTATTTTGTCATGAAAAAACACCGCTTCAATTGTTTCCCCTTTATTGCTAAACACGCTGTGCATCAGTGTACAATTTTAAAACTGTTTTATTTAAGGATAAATAATTTTCAACAGAATTTGTATCACAATTTCGGTGAGATTGGACAAACTATAAAAGAACTGATGGACGAATTTCAAAAAAAAGTTAAGAAACATCAAAAAGTAGAAAGTATAGCTGACATGAAAACCTTTCTAGAAACCTATCCTCTATTTAAAAAACTGTCTGGTACCGTCTCAAAACATGTAACAGTAGTTGGAGAACTTTCATCACTGGTGGAACGTCATCACTTACTGCAAGTATCAGAATTAGAACAAGAACTTGGTTGTCAAACTGATCACTCTGTGCAGGTATATGAATATAATATATGGTATTATTATTTCTTTTCAGTGATAGTCTACATTTTTTATTTTTATTGCAGCTACAAAAAGTAAAAGAACTTATTAATAGTCAACAAATCCAAGAAATTGATATGGTAAGACTGGTGATGTTGTATGCACTTCATTATGAAAAATATGCAAATAACGACATTAACGGATTAATGAGCTTACTGAAAAGTAAAGGAGTATCTGAAAAAAATGTTAAGGTATATTGTAAAACTCTAATCTGCCTAATAAGTTTACTCTTGTTATATAGACTGTAATATAATTAAAATTGTGATTTCAATATTTTAAATTTCAATAGTAACTTTAAATAATGTTTCAGCTTATACATAACATATTAGAATATAGTGGCATTAACACAAGACAAAATAATTTATTTGATCGTGAATCAGTAGCAAAAATTACAAAAAAATTATTCAAAGGTTTAAGTGGAATAGACAACATATACACTCAACATACACCATTATTGAATGAAACACTTGAGGACTTAATAAAAGGAAAGTTAAGTTCACAAACATATCCATATCTTGGAAACACAATAATATCGAAGAGGTAAAAGTATATTGTTTTACTAAATTGAAAAGAAGCAATATATACTTCTTTATAAGTATATTTATTAATTGCATGATTATCTTTGTAGGCCGCAGGATATAATTGTATTTATAATCGGTGGAACAACGTATGAAGAAAGTTTGACTGTGTATAATTTAAATAAGCAAAATTTGGGAGTAAAAATTATTTTAGGTGGCACTACTGTTCATAATTCGCAAAGCTTTTTAGAAGAAATTCAATGTGCTACTTCAGGCATCTTATCAAAGTACAAACATAATCATTAAAAAGGATATATGTATACATTTTTTATTAAGATATTTATTTATACAAATTTATGTATATGCCCTGTCAGCCAAACTTGTAATGTCAAATTTAGTGCTATGCTTGATGTCAAGTTCTGGTTACAAGTTGCATGCAACTCTTGTAGCATAGTTGACATTGCGTTAGATCATGGACATAGAAATAAAGGATGGAAGCGTAAGCTGAATGGCGGCAAAGTACTCTGAGCCATATTGGCGATTGGTTATGATCGCGCAAGCGCATAACCGTGGCTTCGATCTTGTTTTGATCGAGTAAAAGTGTGTCCAGTGTAACCAGTTGAGGTTAAGCAATTATTTTGTACAAAAATATTTATATCTCAGAAACGGTTGACCTCTCGATCTGTGTTTACTAAGTTTTTTTTTAATGGTTTTTTTTAACACCCTTGTATATATTGTTACGAGGAATTAAATTTTCGGGCCCCGGACAGCCGTGTGGCCGTGGTCCGCCGCGAACAAAGCCCTTCTCTCGGCCTCCGCAACTATCCGCGCCTCCGCGAGTTGAACGCCTGACACTCCCCGAGTAGGACCTTCGATACCTTCGACATCTACGCAGGATCGAGACGACGAGAGAGTGACGGTTGCCGGCTAGCACGCCTACGGGTCGAGGTTCGCAAGTAGGATGCGGAGATTCTCCTCAGGGCAGGAGGCGGTTCGCGAATGACTGGAAATCGTTATGCGTTAATTCAGACGTTTATTGACGCCACGCGTCTGCCCTTGAGGGCAACGGTTACAATCGGTGGCCTACGATAATGATTCGATAACAGTTTGATCCGGAAATTCGATACACGTCGCAATACAGACTATTTAACAAATGATTCGGCTACGGCGCCTCCACGAGATGGTATGCGTGGTATGCTACTAGTTGAGGAACCCCGAGGAAATCTGTCCGCCCGCTACTCGCGTTCGCGCTCGCGAACTCGCAACTTCTCACAGAAGGTGAGAAGTTGACCGATGTTATTCGACTATACTATCCCGTAATCAATCACAGAATCACCCGAAATAGAGGAGACGGTTTACCGCGTACAGAAGTTGGCTGCGCTCGCCGTCGTCTCACAGGTCTCTTTCGCACTCGCGACTAGATCGACACGTAATTTAACAAAGAAAACGCTACTGCTATACTTGATCGCTCACAACCGAATGGTGATCCGCGGTTTTCGGCAATCGGTCGCAACGCTTGGCAGTACCCCCGTTTCCCCGTTACTCTACGGTTCTGTTCCTGTTCCCCCGCCGCGAATTTTCCCTGGAGTATTCGGCGGTCTTCAGGGACGCCGTGATTCCGGAGACTCCTCGGGCCCTGAGAGTTTCTCCGCCAATAATCCGGACTCCTCTTGAGTCGGGTTGAGGTACGGCACCACCGCAGTCCTATTGCAGGGCTGTGAGATAGCTACCGGCGTTTGAGCCACAGCTGCGGCCTTGGGGGGGAAATCGCACTTCCCCTCTCCCGGAAGACCTGAGCATTAACTAACTAACTAACTAACGGCACTTGGTCCCCTGGACGCGCCTGTACTCCCCCAATGATGGATCTCTCCTGCAGCCACCTCCGTTGAGAGTCCTTTGCAGAGGGAGGCGCCGGTCACTGCCAATCTAGTCCTACTCCGTTGGTCCTGGTGTTTGCTGATTCTCCAGTCGACCGGACGCCTCACGAGGTCGGCTCCTCGAAACCGATTTGTGTGGTGGAGTCAGTTCGATTTGGATACAAAGCAAAGCGTCTTTGCCATCCTCACGAGTGTACACCTCAGTACTGCTTTGACGAGATTCAACCCGGGAACAGGCTTCTGGAAGTCCAGCGTAGATGTCACAAAATTTTATAATAAAATCAAATCAAATTCTATTTAATACTAAAATATTATTACTACGAAATTATTTAAAAGGAAACGAAGCGTAATCAGAAGCAGTATTAGAGGACACACCGTGAGTGTGACATTGAACGAAAAGCTAATAAGAGAACAGAATTCAAAGAAAGTTATGTGTAATAAACACTAAACAAATTCATCAAATCATGCAAAATCGAGTTGACTTTACCACAAGCGGGATTCGATTATAGTTTAATTGTAAGTTGTAAAACTAGCTGCCATTGTTATAGTTCTGATGGTACGAGGAAAAAGGGGGAATCACTCTCAATTTCGAACGAACGAAGAAGGAGCTGAACAGCCTGCCTATTGCGTTCTGCCAGTTTCCTTCTCGCAATTCCATTTGGCATTGCGAGTGAGTGTAGCTAGGATCATAAGTGCGATCGGAGTTTCTCTACCAGTGCTGGAAACGAGTGTCGAACCACGCTTGCGTATCTGTCCCTCGTATCTTTTGCACTGTGGATTAACTAAGATTTTGTACGCGTCTCCAACCGAGAAGTTCTTCCGTGTACTCGGAAGAGTCATCGGTTGACAAGCATATGCATCGGGGACATAGTTTCCGAGAACTGTGCTACGTTAAGTACGACCTAAGTTTCCCTTTCGGTTCTAGAAACAAGTGTTGGGACCACGTGTATGTATCTCTCACTTGCGTCTCTAGAACTGGGGATTGAGTAAGATTCAGTGCGTGTCTCCACCCGAGAAGTCCTCCTGAATTATCGGCAGGACCATCACCTGCTGCGACAGATTTCAAGGCATCTCTAGCTAGGTCCGCGAATCGAGCAATTCCCGGTAATATAACAGTGAAAGTGTGTATTGCACACCTAAGGTGTGCAAAGCGTGCGTGTGTATTAATCATGCGGATTCCGAACCGCGTCGCGAAGCGACATAAATTCACGTGTAATAAGGGCATCTAAGAATATATAGCACTTTTATCAGTCAGAAACGATAAGACTTGCACGTGATGCAGCGATACGAAGATTGCAACTTTGCATCGACGCAAACGGTCACCACTTCAAGCATCTCCTGTAATGTAAGAAAGTTTATTTTACTGCCACATTTGACCTTGCATGACCTTCAATGATAGCTCGCTGAAGTCGTCTTAACACCGGCTATTACATCGCGATAAAAAAAACATAGCATTCCATTAGAAAAAATAGAGATGACCTTGAAATCTTCTCTATGCCTTCACCCACGCAGAAAATGTTTGTATCACAGTATGCCACCCTCTATACCATGTAAGTTTTGTATATAAAATTTTTTCATATTATTACAAATAACAGCAATATTCAAAATGGACATAGTTATTGTCACACCCTGTATATTCATCTAAAATACACACAACATGATACAATTAAAACTTTGCAAGAGGTACAAAAAAAATAATGGATCGTATAAAAGAAAATTTATTTTTAGGACACAAGTTAGTTAATTTGAAAAATTGATGTACTAATTTCGTGTAAAAAAAATGCCAGTGTAAAGAAAGTACATTACATATATCTATGTTATGCTGAGCGAGGGTTAAATGACTGCCCGGCCTTTGCCAGGGAGAGGCCGGTGCTCCGTACAGCGGTAGGGGGAGACCTCTCGCTCCCGGCCGTGGTTGCGGCCATGGTGGGGAGCGAGAGGTCGTGGAGGGCGGTGTCCTCCTTCTGCGAGACCGTCATCTCGCGGAAGGAGGATGACGAGCGGGACCGCGAGGCGGGGTCGGGGTCGGGGCCGTGAGGCCCGCACAGCTGGCCCCGACGACGCCGGCGGGGGGGGACAGATTCCTCCCCCGTAGGCGTCTCCTCGCTCTCCGGCAGGCGAGGCCTGCGTGTATGGGCGGACGCGTGCGTGGACATCGGGAGCCGGAGCTTCGGCTCCTGTGGCTCCCGCCTTCGCGCGCGCGTCCGCCGGGGCCGCTGATGCGGTCGGGGTGGGGTCCCCGACTGCATCCAAAGCGGCCCGGTAGTGCCGACGTCAGAGTGCAGTCCTCTAACGCCGGTGGAGTAGAGTAGGGGGAGTGACCAGGGTAGTGGTCACCTCTGGGGGGCGTTCGATCGCCCCCACGAAACGAGCTCCCCGATAACGGGAGCACAGGCGCGGTGGTGGCGGTGCGTTCACACGAGATCCCGCCATGTAGCGGATCGATCGATACTGCGCCTCACCGAGTTCCGCCCGAGTAGGCTGCCGGGATTTTAGTGGGTGAGAGTCCCACACTACGTGGAGTCCCACCCCAGGACTTCGAGGTGTGTATAATGCATTTCCCCCGCGTAAAAAAAAAAAAAAAAAAAAAAGGTTAAATGACTTGAACCAGACACAATATTTACGAGGGTAATCCCAAAAGTAAGGTCTCCAAAGCGCTGAGAACGCCGGGAACCTATTCGTGCAGCTATTGGAAACACTGTTGTGTTCGTTACTTCCACCACTCCGCAACAAGCCTATGCGCACCTCACTGGGACACTCAGTCTTCGTAAGTGTATGGCGAGTCGTGCATGGATGTCAAAAACGTCAGCGAGTGGTGTAGGGAGTTTGCAGCTGGTCGAACTGAAGTTCACGACGAAGAAAGAAGCGGCAGACCGTCAATTTCCAACGAGATAGCCGCAAAGGTTGAGCAAACCATGCGTGAAGATCGGCGGATCACTCTGGATGATCTCTGCATTTTGGTTCCCGAGATTTCCCGAAGCACTATTCACAGGATTTTGACGGAAAAGTTGCAATATCGGAAGGTGTGCGCAAGATGGGTCCCGCGAATGCTCACGGAAGACCACCAACGGCAACGAGTTGAATCTTCCCGCGAATTTGTTCGCCGCTATGCAGACGAAAAGGACAACGTTTTGGATTCGATTGTCACGGGCGACGAAACCTGGGCGTTCCACTACATACCTGCGACCAAACAACAATTACGTCAGTGGCGGCGTTCCTCTTCTCCCAAGCCGCGAAAATTCAAACAATCACCGTCTGCCGGTAAAGTCATGGTAACTGTGTTTTGGGATGAAAAGGGGGTATTGTTGGTGGACTTCATGCCTTCTGGGACCACAATAAACGCTGACAGGTATTGTGAGACACTGAAAAAACTCAGACGGGCGATTCAGAACCGGAGAAGAGGAATGTTGAGCAAGGGCGTAAGCATTCTCTACGATAATGCTCGTCCCCACGTCGCCTGTACGACTGTCGCTCTCCTGCAACAGTTTGGATGGGAGATGATCACCCATCCACCGTATAGTCCGGACTTGGCACCCAGTGACTACCACCTGTTTCCCAAGCTGAAAGAACATTTGACCGGAACGCGCTTCAGCAACGACGACGAGGTGAAAGATGAGGTTCAACGCTTCCTCAACGGCATGGCGGCGAGCTGGTATGACATGGGCATACAAAAACTGCTGCAGCGCCTACAAAAATGCATCGACAGAAATGGCGATTATGTCGAAAAATAGATAAATGTTCAAGCTTTAAAATGATGTAAACATTATTGAAAATAAACATTTCTTTGTATTTCTAAAAAAATGAGAGACCTTACTTTTGGGATTGCCCTCATATGTACATCTCACTCATTCTCGCTTTCTGCAACATAGTCTCATTTCTATCTTTCCCACTTCCCACATGCTGTTCTGAAAATCTTGCTAGCACGGGCGAAAAGGACCTGCGACAGGAATCATCGATTTACATGCTATTTTTTTTCACATTTGGGGTAATTCGACGAGATATTACCAAATAGCGTGACCAATTTTGCAAAAAAATTAATGTAAGCCCTGAAATTTTACCTCTTTGAATTTCCATGTTTTAAATTGATTAATTTGATTATAGATGGTGTTTATATGCTAAACGACTTAACATGTAAATGTATATAATTTTTGTTTTAAAATTTGTAGGAAAATAGCAATTATCGAATGGTTTATATTGCAATGTTTTTCACACACTTTTTTAACAATATTCCCGAACTATTCACGAATCTCAAGGGTATATATTTCATTTGTAATGATCTTCCGAACAATTTTGCTGAAAAACATAGGTAATTAGAATTATTTGTTAAAATGGGGGTATGAAGTCTAATTCGACTGGACTATGTAATTCTGTTGACACATGCACCCACTGAAATCTATACTACCTGGAATGCGCACTGCAGAGGGCAGAGACTATATGTGAAAAAGGTAATAATTCGTGACATATTTTAGTAGCAAATGTCTAGCTTGGTTAGCATCTTTTACCCAGTACGTGTGATCCGCGAGACAAGAAGCAATCCAATTACGACCAATATTCATTCCACCAATATTTATTGCAACTATAAAAACATTATTAAAACAGTATTATATACACTGTGCTTTCTGAGATGAGATATGCGAGTTAAACGCGACATTGTATGCGTTCCGGCCTGGGCGTGCTGGGCGACAGAGTAGGGTACGCGCGCGAGGTGAGAAATACGTGTGAGCAAGAGGCATGACTTTCGTGCAGATAACGGTGGCGCGGGAAACGAATGTCTACTGTATCATTTTAAATAAAAAATTAATAACAATATTTGAAATAATAAATAATGAATTTCTATTAAATTTTGTTTTATGTACTAACATTATTTTTAATTATCTATTCTCAACCACTATTCCTTACCTCACCTGTAAAACGTCTGTGACACACGTCTATAAGACTTCCTGAAGCCATCTTTAAACCGTGTGTAACATATCTTTAATATGTCTATAAGCCATATCTAACACGTCTATTAAAAATCTATAAGACAGCCTTAAAATCTCTGTGATTCGTCTCTAAGATATGTCTACAAGATGTCTCGAAGATATCTGTATTAACTACAAAGACGCCTCCTGAGGCAGCTCCCAACCTGTCTTTAAGATGTCTAGTTAGACATCTTCAAGAGAACTCGTTTTTTCACAAAACACGCTTACAGGCTCTAGATATGCTGTTCACAGGATATTACCAGACGTTTTCAAGACGACATGAATGTCTGAATACAGACACTTTCAAGACAGTCACAAGACGTCCGTGTGCTATCTGGGAGATAATGCTCTTTGTTTCTTTTTTTCCGCCATTCATCTCTGGGCATTCAAACTATCCAAACGCGTTCTCGAAACACAAAAAGTATTTGTAAAAGGTTCTTAATAAATTCATTTACATAAGTGTAAAGAAATATTGAAATTAAAATTAAAGAGTTGTGAACAGTTAAATTGTAATTGTTATTTAATTGAATATTTAACTACAATTTCACAACCAAAAACACCCCATAGGCGCTAGCTCACGCCATTTTTCCTACGAAGCTTTAAAATTTACTTAGGAGAACGCAACAATATCAAATGTTTTAATTCGGCTACCAATGACCACCAAACGACCACCAATCGATTGGGTATAATGAAAAGTTAAAAAGTTAAAGTTGTTCTGCTAACTTCACATAGGTGTTTACAACACGAGTTTTGGCTAAACTTCCAAAAACCTCCATGCACCGAATTGGATTAAATTTTCCAAATAGGTTGTTTTTTGACAAAATTGATGATTGGGAGAAAGATTTTTGGCGACTCGAAAAAAAGTTTTTTACCATTTGAGTTTCATTCCCTACCTTACCGCCATAATTTATTATACATATAGTGAACGAACTTTTTAAAATAAATAATTTTCCATTTATATTGCATTACCATCAAAGAATAAATAATAATTTGTACATTTTGATTATGTTAATAAATTAATTATATCCTACAAAAAACAGTATTTTATAATTATATTTCTCCTGTCCTATAGTATTGTATAGTACATACTGACAATATTAAAGAAATTACAAAGTATTAATAATAACAAATTCTAAAATATAATTTAACAATCAAAATTGAAGAAAATAAGAAAACTTACACATAATTGCTGGAAAATATGGTTGTAGAATATATTTTCTTATGTGACTTCTCTTACAACAGATAAAAAAGCTATCTCAAGTATCCTTTCCATTCAAAGGATCCCATTAGCACAATCCCCTGTGTTGGGACCAGTAATATAAACAAATGAGTAGAGTTAACTAAGAAAAAGAGTAGATTTACTTAGAGATACTTAGATTTGCCTTACGAAAATATTAAGAATGATCCCACTACATTTTGGAATGCACTTAGCCACATTATCGCACATATTGCAGATTATCGCTACAAAAATTAGATCAACTCATTTATTTTCTTAAAATTCAATATAGAATAACATAGGTCGAAATATCAGGTAATTGTATAAATATTTTTTTAGATGAAATTCTTTTATTTGGATTCTGTTTCTACGCATATTAGCTAAAAATATAAGTAAATAACTATTACACTTGTATACATATGTACATACATATTACTTTAAGATCTGAAATTTTTGTCCATAAACCTGTGTTCTGCCATTCTTCTCGACACTTTTTCATTATACGATACAAAGGGAAAAAACTAATAAACCATGAGGTTATTAAGCAACTGAAATTTAATATTATTCGACTAAGAGATGCTACGTACTTAGGATCATTTCTAAAACAAATTATACAATTCAAGTAATACGTTATGAATATATCAATGAAAAAATATTTTAAATAATAATACCTTGTGTTGCAGGAGAAGTTCAATGAATAACCATCAGGACCTTGGCCAAGGACACCTACACAGAGTTGGTCTCCTTTTACTATATGTGGATTTTCTAATTATCCTCGAGGAGCACACGTGCGGTGGTGGCGGTGTGTTCGTTAGAGATCCCGCCACCACCGGTTCCGCCTGAGAAGGCTGTCGTAGGGGTTTTAGTGGGTGCGAGTCCCACACTACCTCGGAGTCCTACCCCAGGACTTTGAGGTGTGCATAAGGCATTTCCCCTACGTTAAAAAAAAAAAAAAAAAAAAGTGGATTTTCTAATTGAACATCAACTGGTATTCCAAGTTCAGTTATAAAAGTTTTTAGACGTGATAATGTGCCACTTCTCATTGTGTGTACACTTTCTTTCATTAGCTGTTACATGCTTTATCAAATATATGCATATTACAATTCACATATACGTATACAAATATACTTTGATTGAAATAAATATAACAAATCAAAAATGTACTAATTTTATCTAAATCCAGGACTAAAGCACCAATAACTAACTTTGCCTTCATTTTTTGAAATCGTTTTCTTTCTTTCCCAAACATCATTCTTATAACCTTTTCTTGGTTCCTCTAACTGAATATATACCTTGTAACATTGTTTAACTTTTTCTCTATAACATACACTGTTACCACTGTTAAACACTATTTTTAATAGAAGATACTTTCCTTGCAATCAGAGAGGTAGTTGTAGTTGTTAAATAAAGAACAATCTTTTCTAGTTTCTCTATTACTAGTTGTTCCTTACCATGCATTAATTGTAAAACAAATGATCAAAAATAAATATGTTAGAAATATATGATGCAGTGAAAATGTTATTAATAAATAATTTTTTAATAAATTAATTAATAATAACTAGTTACTAATTAAAATTTATTAATAATAACTTCAGCATTGTCAAGTAATTCAAAAATGTAGCCACCAGGATACGTGTCTCCTTTGTCACGTTTTATGATTTTTATAGAGTCACTAGCTTTTTTACTTCTAAAAACATAGCTTTCAAAATACATAAATCAACAGTAAAATCTTGTTGTACATTCCCAGAATTCTCCATTAAAAAATCTTTCTCCTGTTTTATGCTATGAGCCATCTCTTCCATTATTGCTGTTACTTCATCAATACACATTGCAATATCTGTACTAGATATCTGCAAAAATGTTATTAAATTTGACATAACATATATTCCCTATTCTTAATATACTTAATATACACTTAGTATATTTTAGACATTATTGCATTATTTTAATACCTGCAATGATGCTGTTTCTTCACAAGTTTTCTCAATATTGTGTGCTTCATCTAACTAAAAGAATGATACTATTCTGCAAATCTATGCGTTGGGATCTTTTTGCTTTTGGATCTAATATATAATTGTATGGCAAAAAAGTTATATCTGCAGTCTGCTTAAGTTCCTTCGATAAAAAGTATGGGCAACACTTGAATTTCTATCCAGCTTTTACTAAATCTTCTATATCTAACTTCCTGTTTAAAAAAAGGGCCTTCTTTCCTATAGAATGGACTATGAGTACCAGATGTTGAGACTTTACCTTGTTTCAACATTATTATAATAAAAAGATGCTGTTGATTTTATTTTAGAATGTCACATATGTATTTTATTGGAACTATTAGTCTTTTTGAATACTTCTGGGTGAATGCAAAGTTGATCCCTAGATCCTAATACAGCGGTACTAGTATGTTTATAAGAACTTCTTTTCAACTCCTACATTGCTTGTGAAAGTTGAAAATGTGTTCTAGATGCATAGATAATTTTTGGTGCAGCCCAATTAAAACCGGTGGGAGGATCTAAATCACCTGTAGCTCCTTTATGTTCATTATTTAACTTATTAAAGAAATGTCCCCCAAAATTTTGTTTTTCTATTGCACTTACAATTGCTTGTATGTACTTGCAGTTAAGTTTTTTTTATTAATAACCAACTTAAGGAGGAACATAAATGGCAGAGTATTTTCCCTGTATCTAAAATATTTACATCAATTAATTTTCATTTTCAAGGATGAATAATACATATATGTAGAAATAATAAATATGATGCCACAATGTACCAGTTAGAAATACTAAACCCCCATTTGTGCTATTCTGAAGGCACTCTATCACTTTTGCCATATAATCTTCTTGAACAGAATACGGTTTCAAAGAAAAATTAACAATATCATTATTAATGGTTACTTCAGGCATTATATTAATATGAATATCACAAAGTACACAAGAATTTTTTCTTCTAGAATATTATACAAGTATGTACTACTTACATACATAGTATAAGTATTGAACAGTACTAACCTCGCTTCCCGTCAAATTCTGAATTCATGATTCAACACAATTATTATTGTCTTCGTCCGTCGTCGGTATTTACATTTAGCGCGATTTAGCGTCATACATTTTATTATAATAAAGCAGTAGCGTGGAAAGAGTATATATATATATATGTTATTTTTTTTAAAGATTAATGTACGTACAGAAATTAAATGAACGAAATTCAATCAATTCAAAGAAACATGTAATTTTATTTCTGTAAAATATTTTTTACATATTGACATTGCATATCATAAATTATCGATCAGTGTGTTTTAAATAACTCATTTTCAAGTGGTCAGAGCATAACTGTAATGGAGATAGATTAATTCGTTCGCATTCGTTTGTATGTGAGTAACAAAGGACTGAGATTAGGTTAGTTGTACGTCACTGATTTACTGCAATTTACTGTCTGGCAGACTGAAGACTGAATGGTCAGAGTTAGTCAGAGGTGGTAAGAGTAGCAGTTGAGTTTTCTTCAGGTAAGTATTTTTTCTGAATATATATATTTATTTTGTTGCTGCAAAATAGAGTCGCCATTTCCTGTTTTTCAAAGAAAATTCAAATTAACGAATAGAAACCTTGAAATTGTACAATTATTTCAAATTAGTAGATGCCATTCTTAAGGTCAACAGCCATTGGTTATTGACCTTGAAAATAGGACCCAATGAACCATTTAACATACCTTAAGTTAACCGTGGTTAATACATGCGCAAATTCCATGTAACAGTATATATTCGAATCAGCTTTACAATGAATGTAGCATATTTATTATACTTATGATACTTTATTTGATACATATAATTAGTTTATCAACAATTAATATATATAGTTATGAATCGAAAATAAAATTTTTATATATGTATACGTATAATAAAAACATGAACCAGAAAAGATTTTCGCATTCTATTTGCATTACATGTTAGATAAGCGGTTGTTGTCACAAAGATATCCCCGCATATGTATTCATGAACTTTATTGGGGATTAGTAAAGCTGTGTATATATAGGGTGGAGCAATAACTATGTCCACTTTGAATATTGCCGTTATTTGTCGTAATATGAAAAAATGTTACATACAAAACTTACACGATATAGAGGGGGGCATATTGTGACAAACATTTTCTGCGTGGGTGAAGGCATAGAGGAGATTTTAAGGTCATCTATATTTTTTTTAATCTAGCATATATTGCAATTCACCCTTGATCATATTTTCTCCCCAGAGAAAAAAATCTAATGGGGTTAAATCTGGAGAACGAGGTGGCCAAGAATCTAATCCTCCACATCCTATCCATTTATTTGGGGAAAGTTCGTTCAGTGCATCTCTTACTTTCCGAGCATAATGTGCTGGACACCGATCGTGCTGTAACCACATCATTTGGCGAACGTTTAGTGGTACATATTCTAATAAAGTCCCCTATGAAATAATACAGCATGTTGTAGAATAAGTTCAGAAACGATAAGACATGCACGTAATGCAGCGATACGAAGATTGCAACTTTGCATTGACACAAACGGTCACCACTTCGAGCATCTCCTGTAATGTAAGAAAGTTTATTTTACTGCCACATTTGACCTTGCATGACCTTCAATGATAGCTTGTTGAAGTCGTCTTAAAACCGGCTATTACATCGCGATAAAAAAAACATAGCATTCCATTAGAAAAAATAGAGATGACCTTGAAATCTTCTCTATGCCTTCACCCACGCAGAAAATGTTTGTGTCACAGTATGTCACCCTCTATACCGTGTAAGTTTTGTATATAACATTTTTTCATATTATTACAAATAACGGCAATATTCAAAGTGGACATAGTTATTACCACCCTGTATATACATGTATATACCCCTCACGAGCAAACTCGGCTTCCACTAGGGGAAAAAGTAGTGTTGGGAAAGGGCCTCCTACCATGCTTGTACTACTTGGTATGTAGAATTATTGACATTTATGCTAAATTAACATTCGATTTAACATTTGTTTTAGTACCTGAAATAAATTTACTAAGTGGTAGAAGGCCCTTCTCTTACATCATTTTTTCCCCTAGCGGAAGCCGGTTTGCTCTCGGGTGTACTCTCAGGAGCAAACTCGGTTTCCGCTAGGGGAAAAAGTGACGTAGGTGAAGAGCCTCTACTATGCTCCTTCCTGTTGGTATTTGGAATTACTGAAATTTATGGCAAATTAACATTCGATTTAACATTAATTTCAGTATCTGAAATAAATTTACCAAGTGGTAGGAGACTTTTATTCTACGCCGCTTTTTCCCTTCCCACATAACACTGAGATGCCTAATAGGTGCCTTTTAGATACCCCATAAATGATACAGATATCTGTAATCCTGTCTGAAAAGATATCTATTCGGCCGCCGAAAAGATATCGAAGGTTATTGTAAAGACTACCTCTAAAATACAGTTATCTGAATGATATCTTTCTGGTAACTTTTTTCAGATATCTGTAACAATGACTTTTTCAGATGCTTACGGTATCTGCAGATGACTCTAGTTTAGTGGGTTAGTGGAAGCCGAGTTTGCTCGTGGGTGTACATATTATATATATTGTGTAATATATACACATAAATATATATATTTATATGTATATGTATACGTATATGTATGTAGAGTGCATCACTTTTATCTTGAATGCGATTAACAGCAGCGTTAATTACATATATTTGCGTGTAATTTTGTTGTAATATAAAATGTTTTTTCCCGTCAAATATATATTCTGTAATTGTACCTGCACAAATTTTTTTCAGTTTTAAGTGGAAATTATACATAACTAAAATTAAAAATGCGTTTAGTAATCTGTGATACTATAGATTATGTGGCAGAATGGTCTGCCAAATACGTTTTGAAAAGAATCAATGATTTTCAACCAGATGAAAATAAATATTTTGTTCTTGGTCTTCCAACAGGTACACCTCCTACCTATGCTAACTTTTAATAAAGTGTTTAGAACATACTTAATTTGTTATTACTTATTATTTAGGTGGTACACCTTTGGGAATGTATAAAAAACTTATAGAATATTATAAAGCAGGAAAAATTTCCTTTAAATATGTAAAAACATTCAATATGGATGAATATGTTGATTTACCGCGGGATCATCCAGAATCATACCATTACTATATGTACAATAATTTCTTTAAGCATATAGATATTGATCCAGAAAATGTACATATTCTTGATGGTAATGCATCAGATCTTGTGAAAGAATGTAATGAGTTTGAAAGACAAATTAAAGAGGCTGGCGGAATTGAACTATTTATTGGTGGTATGTAATTTATTATATTTTTTTTGTTGGTACATTACATAGCACAATTGATAAATGTATATAAAACATTGATTTCTTACATAATAAAATTATTTTACAGGTATTGGTCCAGATGGCCACATAGCTTTCAATGAACCAGGATCCTCTTTGGCATCACGTACAAGAGTAAAAACCTTAGCACAAGATACATTAGAAGCAAATGCAAGATTCTTTGGAAATAACATTTTTAAAGTTCCAAAGCAAGCATTGACGGTTGGTGTTGGCACAGTAATGGATGCTAAAGAAGTAATGATTCTTATCACAGGATCCCATAAAGCATTTGCCCTTTACAAGGCAATAGAAGAAGGCATCAACCATATGTGGACCGTATCAGCCTTTCAACAACATCCTCGTACAATAATTATTTGTGATGAAGATGCAACATTAGAACTACGTGTTAAAACTGTTAAATATTTCAAGGTATATGTTTAAATATAAGTGTTTCTAGAGTTTCTTTAAAAAATGTTTGCATTTAGGCTTTGAGATTCAGAAGTATTTAAATTTGTACTACAAGCATTGTATTGTTAAATTAGTTTTGCAATCAATTTCTATGGTATAGGCTCTGAGTGCTGTACATCACAGATTGATTGAGGAAGGAGAGGCAATCCCCCGACGTGCAGTAGAAAACAGTTAAAATGACAGTTACTTCTTTAATATTGTGTGTATGTATTTTATAATTTTCTATTTTCTTTTTTATTATATATAATATTTCAATGCTCATTGGTACATGTCTCATATATGTGTTACTAAATGTTATCAATATATACAGGGTGTCTCAACTAACTTGATCACCTCGAATAATGACTGAACGGTACAAAATATGAAAATTTTGAAGCATAAAACTTAAATGGAATCAAGAGGCACATCTTATAAGGTACGTGCTTTTTTTGTGGGTGGTGGCATTTTAGAGGTTTCAAGGTCATCTTGATTTTTTTTATCAGAATGACCAATTTTTTGTACCATAGATCGATAGAATATCAAGTTCTGAGTAAAAATGTGTTGACCTTCATACATCCTAAATGTAATAGTTAACAAGAAACTTACAAAATAATTTTTAATATGTAGGTACTTACTATGTATCTGGAAGCTATAGGTGCTCCAAATGATGCCCCTCAACTCCAATACAGCAATTTCTAGACTGATTATTTTGCAAATATCTCGCTAACTATCAGGTTTAGGACGTCTCAAGGTGAACACAGTTTTATTCAGATATGGTACTCTGTTGATCTATGGTATAAACAAATAGGTCATTCCGTTAAAAAAAAATCAAGGTGACCTTGAAATTTCTGAAATGCCTTCACCTACCTTATAAGATGTGCCCCTTGATGCCATTTAAGTTACACGCCTCAAAATTTTCATAAATTGTACCGTCAAATCATTTTTCAAGGTGATCAAGTTAGCTGAGACACCCTGTATACATATATTCTATTCTTTACAGAATTTATAGGAGAACAATCGATGAATCTGGAAAGATATGAATTTCAAACAATATGAAACTATATTACTTTGTTATATATAAAATGTCTCGAATAAGGACTTAAAAAGATGGATTTAAAGGTTTCAAAATGGTACGAAAATCGTACGTGTTGCTGGATGAAGTACTTCATAACAAAAATACTATACATATTACATAAGTACTGGTTTTACTAAAACATGAATTTACTACAATATTATTATTTTTATTCTAATACTACAGAAATGCAATATTTTTATATCATTATACTCTTCCATAAATAAATATACCCTTTTTATGATGTATGCTTCGTAATGATGATTTCTCTATTAGTAAATCTACTTGATGGGGGTATTCTAGTGTAGACGCCCGTTTTCAATGTGACATTTGGGACTTCTTTTGCAAAAAAACTATAACACTTTTTGCAGCAACGTTTTTGGGTATGTTTATACATATTTCAGACACAATTACATTTTTTTATGTGGAGAAAAAATAGAAATTCGTGACACTGCATGCTTCCGTACACAGTCGCTTATAAAAACATAATGTCATGATTCCAGATGTTCTGTCTATTTGAAATAAAAAAGCCAAGAAGATTATCAATTAGAATGAGTTTGGCTATGGTAGGTACCAGAAGAAATAAAAAAGTGAATAATTAAAAAATAAGAAAAAGACAAATTTTGAATTGATTGTGCTATATGTTATATATCCTATCTAATCTATGTTATATCTCCATTGCCTTTTTAATTCAGATAAGTAGAACGACTAGAATCGTGGACAGCATGTCTTTATAAGCGATTGTGTACAAAGGTCTGCAGTTTCAGCAATTGTTATTTTTTCTCGATATAAAAAATTATAAATGTTCTTGAAATATATACAAATATACACTAAAGTAATTTCATTTGAAACATTCAAAGTTTAGAGTATTATTTAAGTACATTAATCTAAAATTTATGTTATTCGAAATTTGGTAATTGTTTCAAATAACTAAGAAATACTGTTTAAAGGATTCGAGTAATAAGAACTCGAATGCACTTCGCGATTTATAAAAGAAATTCATGTGAGTTCCTTACTAATCCATGTATAAAGGTAGAGTTATAGTTTTTAAGGTGGTTCAGTTACACTCTTAGGAAATCTGAGCTAAATACAGTCGGAGTACGTGTTGGTAATATTTAAATAGTATTTGCAGTTCATTCTGTAGATTTACTCTGTAATTAAATGAATGACTGCAGATATGCGATGGAAACAAGAAGTATAAGTCCGTCGTTAAGATATAGAGTTAGGAATAGTTTTCAATGTATGCTACGAGTATTATCCAGAGATTCCTTAATCATGCAACTAAATAATTGCCGGTCTGTGACCTGTGTCACAGAATCAGTGGCACATCGGGATTTGAAACATTGTCTGCGGAATGTGTATCTAACTTTCAGTCGATAACTAATAAACCGGAGGAATAACTGTCTCTTTTGCTACACTGTGCTATACGCTCGACGTATCGGTAGTGATGGAACGATACATTTCTTGCTGTGTTCTATGTGGACAACGCCTTCACGATTCTCGCAGTTTTGATTGTATATCAACGCTGAGCAAGACTCGTCGTGTATACATACTTACGTGTATGCATTAAATCATTAAATGATCAACTTGTAGCTCGATACGCAAGCCGAACCGGGCGGCAATGAGTAAGTGAGTTTGCTTGGAGAAACGATTATTATCATCATAAGCACAAGTGGATAAGTGAAATGTTCGGACAATGTGCAAGTGTATGTTTAGCATCGTACTGCCCCATCGAAAGTAGCCGTTGATACGTATATGCTATCTAACATTGCGCAATAATGTGCACACACTCATCGTAATTGATAATGAACACGATTTGGGGTTTCTAGTGGTGGCCAAACTTATAAAATCAAACCGTGCGTAAAAAGAATACGAATTGTTCGTCAAAGTTCATTCGGCAGTGGTACGCCGTTAAGGAACGATTTCTTCCGAACAATCGACGAAATAGAGACTAAACGGCGCAGAGTGACAGGGGTTTCACAGCGGAACCATGACAGGTGATTCGGTAGAAATAAAAGAGGTCGTACTTCGCGATATAGAGCCGCTTATACGCCAGAAACTCGGGGATCATGTAATCGTCGAAAATTTCAAGGCACAGTCTTTGCTACCGCCTGGGGAGAATTTTGGGAGTACGATTCTAAAAGTTGACGTGGAACTGCGAGACGAACATGCAGAAAAGACGGAAGAACTTCATCTCATCGGGAAGATGTTACCACTGACAGAGTTTCAGCGACTAGTGTTCGACAGTTCTCGGACATTTTTCAAAGAGACCTTTATGTATCAGACTATCATTCCGGCGTACAATAAGGTGGAGCTTGAATCTGGAGTGAATATCCACGAGACGTTCGACATCGTACCGAAATTCTATGGATGGAGAAGTTCCATACAACCAGATGTTGAACTCGACGACGACGCGGTTTTCTTGATGGAGAACTTGAAAGTTAAAGGCTACTACAATGGTGATAGGACTGTAGGTATGTCTTTAATTTAATATAAAAGGAGAATAGAGCTGAGCTTTTCATAATATACCGTATAACGTAACACAAAATTCAAGTTTACTTATTTTGATAAGAAATGTTAAAGTATAAATATCAATACATTATAAGCGTAACCAGTATTAATATCTGTGATTCGGGACAGTATATATATACCGGCCACAAGTGTGTTAACTTGGTTCCGTCCGTACGTTCAGTACGATTATTATAAAAGCCATTTGCGATAACTTAGAAGACGTCTGATAAACAGAATAGATTCCAGTGTTTGTGTTCTTTCTTTAAATCAATTACAAACGATTCTTTCTTCTTCGATTAAATGCTTCTCACGCAGCTTTTATTAAATTATTCTTACCTTACATTTATAAACAAATCTATTATCTTCTTAATTTTTATCGTATCTTACGTCTTTGCGTTCAGTTGGTATCAGTTACGTGTGATATCACTGTTCTCAAGATTGCATTTAAAAATGAACTTTAAACTTCTTCCATTTACAATATCAACAATCAACCAGTTTGATCCTATACTATTAATGTGTTACAAACTAACATTTTTTTAGTTTTGTTTTACAATTAACATTTCATTTTTCAAATATTCTTTCGCTTCTGTAATAGATTCCGGAATAAAATGGAATTACAATTTAATAATATTTATGAATTCCACTAAAAGTAAACGGTTAACTCCATACATCCATATTAGATATGTCTCGAAGACAAATCGTATTTGTAGAAATATAAGATTGTAGTTTATTTTAAACAAAAGTTTTAGCTTCTTTATAATGGTTGCAGTGCACATATTATGTTGAGTTCAGCATCCTCTGTGTCCTTATTTCGGTTTTACTTTTCGCTGAAACATTCTTATTGAGTGATTGATAATTATCTTTCCCGTAACATTCAATCCTGTCTACTGAATCACTGGTGATCCGTGTTAAGAAAAATAAACCAAGAGATGTTTGTTCTGTTCATCAACAGATTACCAGTATAACCAAAATAAAAGACAATGCATTAAAACGATATAAAATATAACAATATTATTTTTAAATCAGTTTTTTTTAAAGTATCACATTAAGAACGACAATACTGTAAAGTAGTACAAGCTATACAGTAGTAGGCATTCAATCCCCGCGTTACCGTTACTGCACGGAAGCCACAGGGCGGAACACATACGGTGTCGCGTTTAATACGCATATCTTATCACAAAAAGCGAAATGTATACAATACTGCTTTAATACTGTCTTTATTGGTGGCAATTTCATTGCTTCTAATCTCGCGGATCACACATAATGGGTAAAAGATGCTAACCAAGGTAGACATTTGCTACTAAAATATGTCACGAATTATTAACTTTTTCACATAATACCTTAATGCTTTATTACGTAGCATCTTTAGAAGAATCGATTTATGGAAAATATAAAAGTATTTTTATTCCATAGTATTTCAATATCATTAATAAAAGAACATAATTAACCCACCTACTAAAAAACTGTAACTGCTAAGTACTAGCCCTCTCCATACTAAAACACTTCTGTGAATACACTTTTCTGATATCTCTAAAAATAACGGAGATAATTAACATAACCGTAAAGTGCGTACATCCAGCCTACCCTATACGTAACTACGTCACACAACAGAACGGCCGAATGGTGGGGAAAGCGCTCGGGTAACTGGTCACCGATTCCTGTACGGTTCCTGGAAATTTAGCCCTCTACAGCCCCGACTCGTGCGGGAATCGAATGTCTACTGTATTGTTATTATATAATATAGGATATGTCTTAATCATTTAAAGGCGGTAGAATCGAGTTTTCATGATAGTTAGGAATGAATGGAAATCAAATAGGAATAATTGGAATACTATTTCATTTTAGCGATATAATACCGAAAGCCTAACAGTATATGAGCGTTCAGTTATTATTATTTCAAAACACACTGACATTGGAGATATCAATCAACAGACGATTATCAAGTCTTCGATTATTATTTAAATGTTTTATCTGTTTATTTAAATGTGTGCAGGATGCGGTCGATTTGGTGGTACAAATACAAAAATGAATCTATCATACAGAATAAAATCTTTACGTCCGAAGCTGAGTTTTCGAGAAAATCGACTTTCCAGAATCAAGTAGGTATCTATGTGTTTGTGCTGACAATAAGTAGAATCAGTCAGTAATGGAAATATACATTAGTCAAGTCCTATTTAATTTCACGCGTATTCAATAGACTTTCAAAACCAATTTTCTTGGAAATTAAACCTTAGACGAAAACATTATATTTTAAATTTTTGACTGATTTCTGCAGAAGGAATTATCTTGTGTCTCCTTACACCACCATTTCGGCCACATTTATTATCCGTATGTATAGACATTACAATAGAAAAGAAGAATGTTTAATGGTAGCATTATATAGGGAAAATTAAATTAATTATGAATTAGGTATAGTAAAGTGTTTTGTCAAATATTCTGTTATATTATTAACAAAAATGGAAATTTAAACAAATTCATTTAGAATGATCGAACCTCCATCTTATACAACGATCAACTTATCAATTATACAAAATCAAATAAAAAAAATAATACAAAATCAAATCAATCATATTAATATACATTATCTAATCAATAAATTGATAATGTATCGGACGATAAAATAATGAAACGAAATCTTCTGTTACAGCAAGAAACGAAATTCGGCGAATTATCACAAATAAATATTTTTATTTTCATTGTTTTATGCAGGTTACGACTTGGAACATTCTATAATAGCCGTCAAAGCTTTGGCCAAGTTTCATGCTTTAGGAATGGCGATCAAACAGAAGAAACCGGGCCTGTTCGAAGTGTTCAAAATGCACGCGAAATTATCGCCGATGGTGGGCGATGATACGCTTGTACTCGAAGCGATGTTGCAAACGATAAAAAGCGATCCAGAATTGAGTGTCTATTACAGTAGATGCGAGAAGGTTCTCAAAGAAATGAGGATATCGGTTATTTGGTCAGACGTACCCAGAGAGCCATGGATGACAATTATACACTCAGACTTCTGGGTGAACAATATATTGTTCCATCGTAACGACGAGGGCAAAGTCGACGACGTGAAATTCGTCGATTTCCAATTGTACGTATACAGCAGCGCGATACGCGATTTGCTATTCTATCTGTTCTCCAGCATTCATAGCGATATCACGGAGGAGCAGCTCGAGGGCCTTATGGATGTGTATTACAACACGCTCATAGAAAAGCTGAATCAATTAGGATGCGACACTAAGTGTTTTAATAAAGAGGCGTTCAGAGAAAAGATGGCGGAGGATGCTCCGAGGGAGTTTGTACATCTTTGCTTTATGCTCAAGGTGCTCACGCTGGACGTGAAGCAGACTAACTTTGATTATGTCAGAATACAAAAGTTTATGGAGCAGTACGAAGGCAATCAGTTGTTAAGCAAACTACTCCGTAAAGTCGTGATGTATTTCTGTAAACATAACTGGTTACCCGAATTGAACGAGACACCTGAATAATGTCCATTTCATTCTTGGTCCATTGCGGATCAGGAATTCTGAAAGAGAACAAAACGGTACTTTCAGAAGACATTAAAAAAACAACGTATTTAGTTTGTTATGCGATTTATATTTTATATATACGAGTCTGTTGTATATTTTATATTTATATCTATGAAAATATTGTAGATGGTGTTGCACCAAATAAACAGTACAGTGATTCCTTGATAAATGTGACACGAGCAACGGCGTTATTCTCACCACTTTTGAGGGGGGAGGGGCGTCCCCCTCTGGAAACAATCAAAACAGAGTAAACAGAAGCTAAGCAGAGGCTTGGCTTTGGGGGAAAAACAAATTTATGAAGTAATGATAACCTTTCCGCCTTGCCATGAATGTTCCGAAGCGGACCCAAGTACGTCGCACTCATCGAGACATTGCTGTATTTACTATTTTATTATCTTACATGGTTAATGGAAATGTACATTAAGATCAATATTTCTCGCCTGATGATTCCTTGATTTCTGCCACTATTGTACAGGAGGATGAAGCCGCTAAAAAAATACAAGCGTGAACAATATTAAAAATATTAAAAAATACCATTTAAGTGTCATATGACACTTTTATGAAACTTGGAAATTATGTGCAAAATGACATTGCTGGTAAAAATGTGCACGTAAACAATTTGTTATATGTAATAGGCATATTGGCTGATGCAACAACGACGAATTCTCTTAAATGGAGAACATGAACCTGTACGTCCTATATGCGTTAAGGGTTTTCTTTTTGTAATAATTTTCACTCAAATTATTTTTATTCAACCTAATCCTCTTTCGGATACACTTATACTTAAAGTGAAGTAATATAATATTGACATTAAGGCGTACTGATCAGTACTGAGTTTTGACATTGAACTTTGGTTTTGGTATATACAGTAATCCAGCGTTGAACGCAACATGAAAATGACTCGATGAATCCTACATCGTCATCCCCACCACTGGGGAAGGGGGTCGTGGAACTTGTCAAGCGCTTAATTTTTTGCCCGGCGCGCCGCGGCGGCTTCCGTTTGACGAGCCGACGGCTGAACGAGAGAAGATCAAGAAAAGATTACATGCCCGGGTATCGGGTGGCACGATACTAATGTAACGATGAAACTTCTTTATTTTTGGTTCTTTATTAATGAAACTTTTATTAACATATTGGTGAAATTATTCCGATTTAAACGATACCAAACACGGTATAATTTGAAACATATTTACTTATGTAGGTGTTAAAAATTCATATTCTTTTATTATTGCTTGTGATAAAGTACAAACATAAAAAAATGTCGGAGCCTTTTTTTATTGTGTACAAAGGTGTCAAAAAGATTTAAAATGGTACAATATTGAATGTCGGAAGGAAAAGAAATAAACGCGTATGTAGGCATACGTATACAGTTGCTCACGAAAGTATTCCTAGGGAGATGGCTGCGGAAGAAACCCATCATCGGGGAGTACAGGCGCGTCCAGGGGACCGTAGGCCGTTTTTTTTTTTTTTTTTTTTTTTTTTTTTTTTTTTTTTTTTTTTTTTTTTTTTTTTTTTTTTTTTTTTTTTTTTTTTTTTTTTTTTTTTTTTTTTTTTTTTTTTACGTGAGGGAATGCATTTACGCACACCCCCGCCATCCTCCAATGTGGGAGGAGTGGGCAGGGGTAGTGTGGGACTCTTCCCCAATAGGGCTATGTGCCCAGGGGAAATACCCACTAAACCACTCACGGTGGCCGGGCTCGGCGCTATACGGGGAGGCACCGGGATCTCTTGCGAACACGACCGGTACCTCCCCAGCGCCCGCTCCGCCAGAAACGGCAGAGCGCCCTCTCTGTGGCGGGGGAAGCGGAGAGCTCCCCCCCCACCGGACCGCGGATGCCACAGTCCCGCGATCCCAACACCCAACAGTCCCTTTTAGTCGCCTCTTACGACAGGTAGGGATTACCGTGGGCGTATTCTATTCCCCGCCACACAGGGAGGAGGGGACCGTAGGCCGTACTCCAACCCGGCTCCAGGGGAGCCGGAATTATTGGCGGAGAAACCCTCAGGGCCCGAGGAGTCTCCGGAACGCACCTGACAACCGGCGGATACTCCAGGCCCTGGAGTCCAGGGCTGATTCACGACGGGGGCACGGGAAACGAAACGGCTGAGCAACGGGGAAAGGGGGGTACCGCCGAACGTTACGGCCGATTACCGAAATCCGTGATTCCTCATTCGGTTACGAGCAAGCATAGTACAGAGCGTATATCATTGCGGCTATATCTCGAGTAGTAGAACAGTGTGTAAGCGAGTTAAGGTCGGTTTACACTATACGACATAGACCGTCACGTAGCGTATCAGGCACGGCCGTTTCGGGCACGACAAGATATTGAAACATAGGTTTTAACCCCTTAACCTACAACTACGGGCATAGCCCGTAGTAGATGATCGGACCAAACGTAAATATTACGGGCATAGCCCGTAGTAGATGATCGGGCCAAAAGTAAATATTACGGGCATAGCCCGTAATACGATAATCGGGCCAAATATAAATATTAGCGGCGGCGCCCTCCAAAAGTTAGAAATATTTGTGGAATATGTGATAAGTAAATCGTAGGTTAAGGGGTTAAGTGGGACTGTCTAGATAGTCCAGCACCGACCCGTAACGTTCCGTCAACGGCACCTACCGCCGGCGTCGGATTAGGTAAATACCCACATACGGCACAGACCGTCGCGTAGCGTAACCGACACGGGTCGTTTCGGGCAAGCAAACATTGAAACACGCGTTTTAAATGTTGCTATCTACATTGTACGATACCGACCCGCAACGTTCCGTCAACGGCGCGTAGCGACGCTGCTGGCATTCTCACGAAGAATGTTTTGCCGGTACGTGACGGTGCGGGTCGGCGCTGGTCTGTCGCTGTGAACTAATAAACAGTTTTAAGCGAGCCATTCCACGCCAAATAGATTACTTTTGATGTTGTAGTTTATGTGAAATAATGATGAGTTTGTATCATCATTTTGCTGGCTTCAAAGTTATTAACAAGTTGCGGGTTTTTAGTTATACATGACTGTATAAGCAAATTTATATTTCGTAAACTATTATACTTAAAGAGAAAATGTTATTTCATTCGCATCACAAAAGGTAGAACTTTCTAGGTTTATTTTTAATTTCATTGTACTCACCCTTTTTCAATATGAAAATTATAAATACATTTTTATTTTTCAAAGACGAATCTCATTTAAAAATCTGAAAAAATATATGTTCTTTGAATCTTTTTGAATAAAGAAACCAAATTTCATTATTATCATTTCATAATTGTATTGAGGGTGGAGCTTCAAAGACATCCGAGTGTTGTCCCAATGCGCCGCGCGGTCAGCAATTGCTTGCCATCTCTAAACTTTTACTAATCTGTTTCACATAAACAACTCTCGACGTCCCCGATTTCTGAAAGACCCAAATCCCGCTATCATGTACCCTCTTGCAAGACCGCACGCATTCTAGAAATCCTATCATAAATTCTCCAACGCTCAATAAGCGACAGGTCATTTGCTTTCGACACATATGTACACGGTGTCCCACCTAACGTACACATCTTAAATATTTCACTTATTTTTGATTTGCAGAAAAATTATTGTAACAGATTCTTAAAGTGATGTCCATCAGCTTCGATTCATTTTTGCATTAATCCCTCTATTGTAGTTGTTTTATTATTTAAACTTACTCCCATCAATTTGTAGATTTTTCGTTTTCGGGCTAACATGAAAGTCACACTACTATAGGTCATTGCTTTGGTCTTGATCTGAACTATTACGCTATGATGATGAAAATATGCTATCTCATTTAAAAAAAACATCGCTGACTTCGACATTTCGAAAAATATGACTCTGAGACGATTTTGTTCAAGATGAAATATGTTGTAGTCCACGTGAAATTAGGTGGAATTTAAATTATAATGTTTCTATTCACGAATCCTATAGATACTTTTAAAAAAAATAGAGGTGACCTTGAAATATCCAAAGTACCTCCACCTGTAAAAAAAACTATTAGCTTCATCGGGTGGGTCTCTTCGTACTGTGCAATTTTGGTTAAACAAATATTTCTGTGAACCTTATAGCTTCGAAGATATCTGAGGTGGTAGTAGTTATTGCCCCACCCTGTATTATAAGAATGAGTAAGTCATGTTTTTTCAGTGTAACGCGAGTGCAAAGTGGCGCAGTATGCCTACGCGGCTACGATCTACTTCCGAATCGAAATTCTTGACTATTTCATATATTCGAATATCTCATGGATACCCAGGTATCTTATAAAGTCACAGCTCTAATCTGTACTCTTTGATGTAGGTTGTGCTGAATAATAACTGTCTTAACTTTTCATTATTTTTAAGTGTGGCCAAATCCAAATCTCTTCAAAACCAGGAATGCAACAAAAATTTATGTTTTTCTTTTAACGAGTTACGATATAAATGGGATAGAAAGCCTGTTAAATTTTATAAAAATTTCTATCTTATTCTACTTTATGCATTTATTGAAATCTATAAATAGTGATCTATAGTGATTTAGTACCTATTTATATAGAATTTGAATTGGTATGAACTTGCGCGATTTTACCGCGCGGTAAGCACGGCTGTCATTCGTTACATGGTATGTTGTTAATACTAATTTTAATAAATTTATATGCTTTCTATTGCCGTACAGAAAATTTCTAATGAAGTAGTAGAAAATTGATGATTCGTAAATAAACTACGACCTTGTCGTAAAAGAAATTAGGTAATGGAGTATCCTATGTCAATGAAATGTATTAAGAAAACCATACGACTTCCAATTGTGCGCGTGAACAACAGAGCCGGCCGCACGCGCCACCACCATATTGCGTAAGGCCAAAATTGGCCCGTCAAAAATGTTAAGTTGTGGTAGATTTGTCGGACGATTGCCAAAACTTACAAGGCATTCACATGCTAATCATTTCAGTCGTCCTTTAAAATATATCGGTAAGTGTCCATTTAATTATATGTAATAATTTAAGTGAAAATGTTCCTTCAGATTCGCCTTTGATTCAGTTTTCAATGAATTCTTTGCTGTACATTGGCATGGTTGTTATAAATAATGAAGTTTGATTGCCATTACATCTATGCTTCTGTGTGGTATTCGTTTTTCTTTAACATTGTTGAAGTTTGTGTGAGATACATATGTTCCATTTTGAAGTATACACCACGCGACATAACCTCAAAAGCCTTACTAAATATGGTATAATTGATAAGAATTCATAGATATTTGCACTATTCGAAAATATAATTTGTAAACATTTTTTATATTGCATATGTTTGTGCGACAATAAACGTATACAAATTTTATCAATTTATTTTTCACAAATTAATATTTTGAGAAGTGTATGTAGTTAATTAACAATAAAATTTATTTCAATATCGTAATTATTACTTTAAATTTTGTATTGTCTTTTAGGAATTGTCAGTGTTAATAATTTATGGTATAGTTCCAATGCTAGTGATAAGAAAACGTACAAGCCTCCAGGCACTACCATAAAACCTGAAGAATGTGTACCCAAAAGTAGGTATTCCCAACCACAGAGAACTGTCCCTACATGTGAGTCTCGTCCTAATGCATCTTGTCCACCATCTTGTTATGAAGCTTGCGAAGAACCAGCAGATTCACCGAAGTCTAACAATAAACCACCATCACCACCCTATTGGAAGATACTAGTTGCTTTGCTTATAGCTGGAGCTACAATATATGCGGTATAATATTAATAATCCTATATTAATTATATTTTTGTTTTTGTATTTAGTTTTACTCTTACACAACTTATAATATATATGTATATATAGACAAACATTTCTTTTCCTTTAATATCTTTATTTAAATGTACGCTGTAGATATCTTCCACATTATCTTCTGCAAAGAAATCTGAATTTCAAAAGGATGTAAGTAAGAGTAAGTTGAGCTATGTCAGTTGTTATCCTATGTCTTACAAAATACAAAAAAATGATAGTTCATTATTTTTTATGTTAAACATTAAGGAAAGAAGGATGGAAGAAGACATAGAAGATTATTGGACAAAAATAAATCACCCCCAAATTCTACTTTCATTCCAAAAGAGGTTCAGTACCTTTTAATAGGAGGTGGAACTGCTGCATTTTCTGCATTTAGATCAATTAAATCTAGAGATCCTAAAGCTAAGGTACATGATAATGACATTACTCTATAACTGCTCGATACAAAAACAGTTCCGTAATAGAAATTTTATTTTAGGTGTTAGTAGTAACAGAAGAAAATGACTTTCCATATATGAGGCCACCATTATCTAAAGAACTTTGGTATAACACAGACAGAAAAATAAGTGCAGAGTTATTTTTTAGGCAATGGAATGGAACACAAAGAAGGTACTTGTTTAATAATTATTTACACATTTAAAAAGTGATTTTTTTATATGTTTATTATATATTGCAGTATATTTTATGAGCCAGCAGAATTTTATTCACAAGTCAATAATTTGGTTGAATCTGATAAGGGTGGGGTAGCTGTTGCTACAGGTTGGAAAGTAACAAAAATTGATGTTCAAAATAAAACTGTGACACTTGATGATGGTTATGAATTAAAGTATGAGAAATGTCTGATTGCAACTGGTAAGTATTGTTATTTTGTGTTTAAGATATATGTATGTATGTAATAGTTTATTATTTCCTCTTAGGGATCACAAGGCTTCAGTTTCCCACCCTTTTTACAATTTCGCTTTTTGTCTCCTACTCGTACATGTATTAATCAATTTACCTCTATTATCTTTTCTTGCACTCCTTTACTCACATCAGGTATCGTAGAGAGAGAGACGTACCACATCCTTAATACCTTGAGCGCTTACATCCAGCTTATAATTAACTTATCTCTACTTATAATTCTACTTATTATCTATCTTATCGTATATTACAAATTTGCACTCGTGGCTCCCGTCTCCGCTCATTCACCCTTCTTTCTCACACTCTTACTTAAAGATACTCCTCTGTCCTCATCTCCTTTCTTCCTCTCCCGCTACTATTCCTCTCACCTCATCTAACTCTTTCATCTACTGCTTCCCTTCTCCCCCTCCCCCAGAATTTTCTCAACCTCTTCCTGCCAACATCCACCCTCCCCCTAACTTTCTTCCTCCTGCACACAAGTTCTGCAGATCCTTTCTCTTCCGCCTCCCAATACCTCACTTCTTGTTTAAGATATATGTATATCTTTAATTGTAATATTTTTTCAGGTGCTTCACCGAAAAATCTTCCAGTCTTTGAATCAATTGATGATGAACTTAAAGATAAAATTATAACATTTAGAACAAAAGAAGATTTTCTTGATTTAGAAGACAGTGTGCATAATCCTAAGTATAAAAATATAGTAATAATTGGTGGAGGATTTCTTGGATCAGAACTTGCTTGCTCATTAGCCCGTAATTGTATGTTATTTAATTTACTTTTAAGAGGAAGATAATTACTTCGTATAAGAAAAACTTAATTATCGATATCTTTATGCAGTACCTGAAGACAAAAAAGTATATCAAGTATATAAAGAGAAGTTTATAATGGATCAAGTATTACCGCAATATTTAAGTGAATGGGCAACAAAGAAAGCAATGTTAGAAGGTGTTCAGTGTATTCCTAGTTCTGAAGTTGAGGATTATTCCTACATAAACGGAAAGATGTCACTTGTTCTTTCAGGAAATCATATTGTATGTTTATGTTTAAATATTTCTATATTGTAATTTAATTATGTACACATACCATAACTATTACAATAATTAACAATTTTGTTATTCAATATACACGAGCAGATAGATGCTGATCAAGTTATTGTAGCTGTAGGGGTTGAACCAAATACTGAACTGGCAACAGTTTCACATTTAGAAACAGATCCTGATATAGGTGGCTTCCTTGTAAATGCAGAATTAGAAGCTAGAAGCAATCTTTGGGTTGCTGGAGATGCTGCCTGCTTTTATGATATTAGACTCGGTCGAAGAAGAGTAGAGCATCATGATCATGCTGTAGTTTCGGGAAGGTTAGCTGGAGAAAATATGACTGGTGCAGGTAAATTACAATTTGCACAACATATTACGTTCCAATTTTTGTTATTATTAAAATTATCATACAAGAACTATATTTAATTTTGTATGACCATTTTTTCTAGGAAAACCATATCTACATCAGTCAATGTTTTGGTCTGATTTGGGCCCAGAGGTTGGGTATGAAGCCATTGGTATTGTAGATTCTTCACTGCCAACTGTAGGTGTTTTTGCTAAAGCATCAGAATCCAATGTTTCAACAATGCCAACTTCTAATTCAAATGAAACAACTCAGTCTTTAGAGGAAAAAGAGGTAGTAAATGAAAACTTAACTTTATAATCATATTATTTACTTAAGATTCGTATATTTCATATTTTTGTAAAATAGAAATTGAGTTCAGTGCAAAGTTCTATAAAATCGGGAACAGTATCTGAAACAGTAGAAAGTAGTGACCAAGCCGCAAGTTCAACGGAAACTGATAAATCAGAATGTGATGATAAAAATACAATAACAGAGGAACCTAAGAAACATGATGATTTTGGGAAGGGGGTTATTTTTTATTTAAGAGACGATATTGTGGTTGGAATAGTCCTTTGGAATATCTTTAATCGGATGTCAATTGCTAGACAGGTGCGTATTAAGGAAGTTAACATATACATATATATAAAATGTAACACATAAGACATAATTCTGTATGTATTTCACGCAGGTACTTGCCAGGGGCGCGAAATACGATGACTTAAATGAAGTAGCAAAACTGTTTACTATTCATGATGATTGATTCCCTCAAGGCAAAAATGTGATGAATACATGACAATATTATGTCATTGCTGTATATAAGGTTATTTATCCACTAATTCCGAAGCATATTTTACCAATAAAAAAACTCTACACCTGATACGTTATCCTGAGTTTAAAAGGTACGACTTGTATCAATATTGCACATAGTACATACAAAGTATTTCCAGAGGGAACCTAATAAACAAATGCAATTATATGGATATTCAGATATGTTTCTCATAACATGGTAGAATGTGAACTATCTTAGGAAATGGATCGAAACTGTTTAATTACTAAATTACAATTTAATATCATTCATTAATTTACATGTATATACATGTATACAATGCATTTAATAGAGAGTATTTTGTGAAGCAGTAAGTATTAAAAATGTCATAGAAACGCATGTAATATAAATGATATGTAACAATAGATTTTTTAAAATTGTTAACGTGAGTTATGCATACCAATACACAAACGTTTCCTCCTTGATTTATTCTATTATCATAGAGGCTCATTAAATAGTGAACTTATTTCTTTCAATATTATATTAACAGATGTTCATATTACACTTAATGAATTAAAATCTTTTATTATTAGCTTTGGTAAGATCTTGTTTCCATATCTTTTATCTAATATATCCATAAATCTGATATACTCATGACAATGGTAATCGTCTAACATCTAAGTAAAAAAATACTTTGTACATATATAAATTTACATATTACATATTACGTGAATGTGTACATACCATATGTTCAGGCCACATTTTTCCACTTGTCACATGTTGCATTATTGCATGTCGACAATGATACAGAAGTGATACACAATAATATATCATATAATCGGGTGAATATAGTACACAAATACCAAATAAGTTCATAATTTCAGTCCAAGGTAGTATACCCCAAAAGCATTGAGATATCATTAAATCACATATTAAAGACCAGTTCATTCCAGATGTACTCTATGTGAGAACATAAATTAATTAACAAAATTGTTATAACATCAGTTATAAACCAAAACACTGAGTAGTAACAACAAACAAATAATTCCAATTTATGTTGTAAACACATATATTATAAATGTATACAATATATATATATATATATATACATATCTACCATAAGTGCAAATTTTATGTGTGGGAATTCCTTATTAATAACAGTTTCCAAAAGTTGCATAAATGTAAATTGAGCAGCACATTCTTCCTGAATATTCTTATCTGATACTTTCCCCAAATTTGGCCACAAAAATGTAGTTACTGGAAATCTAATTAATTGTGTAACAAGTATTTTGCATCTGTAATCAGTTAGCAAATATAAAAATATTTTTCAAATGTATTTTCAGATAATTCTAAAGGTCGATGATGATTTATAATATTCTTACGCGCAGTATCATTATAATGGTGACTAAGTTTTCAATCTGAGACCTGCCAATGATGATATATGACTAGCTAGAGTTGCCCTAATTTTTCTATTGGTATTAGCCATTTCAAAGACGCTGTGTCAAGATATTTGTGTGATTATCCACAAATAAATCTTGATTGGCGTTTGGCTTTTACTAATAAAGGGTGTATTCGCGGTCAGCTGAGGTGTTTATTTAAAATACGTTGCGTGTGTTTTTAAAAAATGATTTGATATTTAGAAAATAATTTTTGTGAAAAAAATTATTGTTGATACGAACTCCTCTCGTAACCTTAAAGTAACCATAAAAGGTGTGATTCTTCATACAAGACTTTATTCTCAAGAAAAGTACCTCAAAAAATCTAATACACACATATTTGATCACTATTCTTACAACAAATAAAAATAATCAGTATTGAAGTCAGTTAAGTCGTATTTAATAATATGCGTACTTGACAAATATTTAAATTTGATTCTTTTGAAGGCACAGCTTCATATAAAAAGTTTGTATTCTGTATTTGTTACTTATTTTTGCACAAGGAACCCTTTCAAAAGTGTATGACGATGTCGGCTAAACTCTGTATAAAGGCATATAATGTAATTTGACTAAAAAATTCAATGGTATAAAACAAGTAGTACATACTTTTCTATATCTCCTTCACAAATAATAAACACTGTTGCTAAAAACCAATCAAAGCCATCAAATTTTTTTGGTCTCTCATATTGTATAAATGTATAGCATGCATTGATAAATCCTTGTAATTTTTTTTTCATTTCAAGTGTATTTGCTAAAACATTGTTCTGTTCTGCATAATATAAAGCTAAATCGATTCCATGTATTTCCTCTGGAAACCAAAAATCTGTATTTACTGAAAAACTTTCTTCCCACTGAAAGTTTTCTTCCCATTCTGCAATAGGAATTGCTTTATGCATCTGATCTATCAATAGTATCAATACAGTGTTCTAAAAAAGTCATGGGTATAGAGTTAGATATAATTAATTTGACAAAATTATGAAGTTGTATAAAACAAAAACGTTCACCTTCATTGGTTCATCTAATATTTTAAAGGCTTCTCTAATGTCTTCAACCCAATAATTGTCTAGCAATCCGGATTTATTATCTCGAAGCAAAGTTTCTAATTCTGTAAAGTCTTCGGTTTCTGAAGAAGATATGTTCTGTTTATTTAACTTTGGAGGTGGTAACATTGATATATCATATTCCTCTGCTTTAGTAGATTCTTCTTCATCATTAATTTTAATTAAATATGTCTTATATATAATTTTATGCCGCATTAAGGTGTAATCATCAATGCAGTTTGTACTTATTTCATCATTTTCAGTTTCTTGTGTATTCGAATTGTGAAGTTTTAATAAAATACTCTAAAAAAATGTTTCTTATATGAAAAAGAAATAAGAAAATTAAGTATTTTTCAAATATTCTTGCAGTGAACATAAGTACCTGGAAATCCAGTAACTCTATTAAAAACACATAAATATTTAAATTCCAAATCATAGTGTTTAACGATAGAAGTCCTAAATAATGATAATTCGATTCAGGATTTATTGTGTCTCTAAAGAGTTCAGGTAAATTATGGGGATAATACTGTTCATCACTACTAAATGGTTCTTGTGCATTCGTCATAAATGCTGAGAAGCCTAAAAATGTTTCGAATGTTTAAATAACTTTAATATATTAATAATAAAATAAAATTCGTTTCTATCAATAACCTTACATTTGAAATTAAGAGAAAAGAATGTTAATATATGTAAAAATGTGTGAATACTTTCATGATCCCACGGATCGTGAAAGTAGTGTACATCTTCTAATATTTTACATGTTTCTGAAAGTAAAGTTGACAATATATGGGGTGCAAGATTAGCCAGTGTATTGTATCCCAAGTGAAAAAATGCAGCAGACGATACAAAGTTGACTACTCTCATTGAGTTCCATGACATTCTTAAGGGTGCAATGCATCCTTCAATTAGCTCCTGAAATACTGATGACTCTCGAACAAGAGCTTTTAATCCAAAGGGTATGGATACCATTTTAAGAAGTAACATATTAACAGCACTATAAATAAAATTTTCTTTTATGTAATTATATTTTATAATGAAATAAAGATCAAAGAAAATGGAAGTTACCTATTTATCTGTTGAGCTTTATTTTCATTTTCAAAATAGAATCTATCTAACTTATTATAGAAATATGACACAGCAGGATAAAATTCCTTTTCTATTTTATATTGTACAATTTCATAGGCATCAAATACATCGAATAGCTTTTCTATTACTTTTAATAATTTAATAAGATATTCATCATTCATTATAGAAAAAGGTTGTTTTAACATATTTGATGCTATTACTATAATAAACATAGCTGGACATTTTATCACGTTACTTTCAAAATTTACTGTGTGCTCCTTGCATTCAGAGATAAGAAATATGGAACCATCTACTGTATCTAACATGTGTAAGATAATATTTAATGTGTGCGGCCATATTTTTATGTTATTTTCAGATAATGAAGGTAAGTGACATAGTGCAATATGGTAAAACTCGGAACTGTATAAAATTGTTGGCTTATCTAAAATAATTTGCAAAGCATAGCAAGAGATATCATACACCCCATTTAACGTATCCACAGACAATTTATTTAGAGCTTTCAAAGAAGCCGTTATGAATTCAGAAACTGAAAATGGATTTTCGAAGACATTTTCATCCAAGAGTCTCCTGCCTGCTTCTTGAGCACAAAGCTGCGATACAAAACACAAGCAATGAAGATAAGTTACTGTTTCAATTGTATTTCCATTAATGATAACTTCCACTGGTTCATCAAATATAGAAACTGATACAGAATGTGGAGGATCCTCCAATCCTTTTTGTACATGATACATTATGTTTTGCAGAAAACTAGGCGACTTGCCTAATGCAGTTAGAAACATTTTTCTGCTAGCAAAATTAACAATCCACTTCTTACACCAGTCAGCACGTGGTTCTAATATAGAAATAATGTTCAATACATTTAACGTCTTAGATTGCGTTGCATTGCAAAGTACATGTGTACTCAAAAAAATTATAAATTCTTCTATTAACTCTTCCATAGGTTTATCAGAATTTCTTGCAGATTTCAGTTTCTCTTCGTGATATTGAAGTATCAAATGTATAATATGAAATACTCTTTCATGTAGAAAGAACTTAAAATTAATTCCAGTAAACAATGTTGGTAGTATTTCAAATGTCTTCTGAGAATGGTATTGAGCATTAAATGCATCTTGCAAATTCATGTACACATCATACGATTGCAAACATGACAACAATTTTGCATGAACTTGTAAACTAGCTTCAAAAATGGGTCTACTTTCATCCGTGAGACTATCCAATAGAGCCTTTTTAAGAGAATTCCATATTGGATTGTTATTTAAATTTGACAGATCATTTTTCAATAAAACTTCATATGCAGCTAATCTAACATGAGCTGGTTTATCGTGACCGATCTCATCGACAATAACATTATAGTATTCATCATTATTAAAAGGAGAGTTCCAATCTTCGCTTGTTTGATCACTGAGGCAAGAAAGAGATGATTGAGGTCGGGAGTCAGAAAATAAAGTTGATGCCGATCTTGAAGCCGATTGTTCGCCAATTGTAGCTCGCATTGTGTTTAATAAAGCAGACATTTCCTTGGAATGTATCATTTTTTTAGTAATATCGGTGCAGTCCATGCCTTCGTCCAAACATTTTTGTATACTAGCTTCAAACTCTTTTTTTAAACACTTTTTTATCCACTTCTGAAGACTTGGAGAAATATCATTTTCCATGTTCAAAAAATAATTAATACGATGCTCCAGGAAAACAATAACAATAGTAATAATAATAGTTTTAATGTATCACAGCCTGTAACAGAAAATTGTAATGTTTTCACATAGTTTCTATGACTACCAGTAGGGTAGCTGTTCATAGATTATACTTGATATGTATAGTCACAGCTGACTCTAGTACTAGCCGTGCTGGACAACGTGGCAACACCGCTCATGGAGGATTCGGCAGCAGTGATGCCAGAATCGTGGAACTTGGTTCCACCACCACGACGTCCTGGCGTCCTCCACTTTATTCCACAGTTTCTGCTAAACAAGCATACTTTGCTTCTGTCCGTGTGAGCTGGCCGTTCGGATGCCCGTAAGAATCTACGTTACCGATGAGACTCCCAATAACCTGAGTGCGTAGACAATTTGCATACAAATGTATACACAAATTATTCTTACAATTAGATGTTACTATTGCAGTACATAAATATAAAAACATTCGTAGCAAAGTCCCATTAGATTAAATTATTTGCGCTTCTGACAACTGTTGCATCTGGTCCACGTAGATACGATGCTGTAGAGTCGTTTTATATCGGAAAAAAAATAAACACATTCAAAACATCATAATCATAATTACAGTAGCACAGGATAAAATGTAAATATTATTGGAAACTTATCTTCTTTTGTTGATAAAAATATATATCCGTCGCTGAAAATGTAAAGTAAGTATTACGCGTAGGAAGTACGTGGAGAAGAAATACAGGCGAAATAAACACACGCGAAATAATGGAGCTGTACCCAGATAGCACATGACGCCTTAAAGACGCTCATTTTATAGCCATTTTAGGACTGAACGACTGAATGTCCTAATTGGTAACAAAGGCGCCTTTAAGACGCATTCTGGGCGTCTTGAAGACATATTCTAGGCGTCTGTAAGCGCCTCCTTGGGGGCTCCTTTGGGGCCAACTCCGAATCGATCGAAGCGCGGATGTAAACAATCGGACGCCAGCGGAAACACATAATCGATATTTGGAACGGCTTGATAATACGACATCTAGCGGCAGTACCCACAAAGAAATTTTGTTCCTCGTTACCATCAAGTTGTGTTTTCGTATTTGCTACGCGAAGACAGTGTTGCCGGACACTATCATTTTTCTGACGCTGTTGCCTCATGTCCCGCATGCAATTCTACCCGTTAGGAGAACGATGAGTATATTGAAGCTGGACTCTCGCGTTGTTGCCATTTTTACCTTTAGCACGGCTAGTACTAGAGTCGGCTGTGGTACAATAAAATAGTTTCAACTTCTTTACTATTAGAATGATGTTTCATACATACATTAATTTATTTATAAATAATATAAAAAAAAATAATTTTTACGAAAATGTTATATTTACAGTTCAGACGACATTTAATTTTTTTGTACAAATTTTATAACCATATAAGTCGAAACATACAAGCAATGTAACAAAATTAATATTTTGTGTATATACAAATTATAACCATTACAAGTGTTAAATGCAATCTTAATATACTTCATAAGAAAGGATTTCACAAATGTACATATAGTATTTCCTTTAACGTGTGGCTACAATAACGCTTGGAGACTTTGATCGCAGGGCAAAAATCCCTCCTTGTAATGAACATACTCCCATAATTCCACATTTCACAAGAAAATCTGCAAACTATAAAAGATTCTTTCATTACAATGCTGTTCAAGAACAAAATTATGTACGAGGTGTAATAATAAAGTTTGGAGAATAATTCGTTTAAAAATTTTATTTAAAAATTAAACAGATGTAAGACTATCGCCTTTAAAGTAGTCCCCTAAAGCTATACACACGTATTCCAGCGTCGAATCCATGGATCGTAACATTTCTAGTATCTATTTCAATTAATATCCGTGTTAGATTTGCAATGTATGACAATAAAGTTTAGAGAATAATTTTGTTTCTGTCAAAGTAGCAACAAATATAAACAGTTACGACCACTTTGACCGAAACAAAATTATCTTCGAAACTTTATTGTAACACCTCGTGCCGTAACACGGGTATTAAACAGATATCAAAAATGTTACGATCAATGAATCCGAAGCTGGAGTGCCTGTGAACAGTCTCCACGGGACTACTTTGAAAGCGATAGTCTGATATCTGTTTAATTTTCAAAATAAAATTTGCAAATGAATTATTCTCGAAACTTCATTATCACACCTCGTACAATATAATAATAATAATAATAATAACAATAATACATTTACCAGGGCATTATTTTGATCATGAGGTCCTATGATTACAACAATATTGTTTTTATTTTCCGCGATCGGTTTGGCTTGCGGTCCAAGAGTTTCAATTTGAGTTTGAGACAGTTGTACACTCGTAAATGGAATGTTAATACTTCCTGCTACAGCACCTCTTTCAAATCTATGAAAGTAAAATGATGACACGGAATGTAAAAATGATTTTAGCTAATGTCTTTCTTCTTTTAAGAATAAGATACTTACTGTATGTTATTACGTACATCGACAACTATTAACCTTTCTGGATTGTTTTCTAATAAATTTAAAAAGTCATCTACGCTGATTCTTGGCATTTTTTCGGTGTCTGGTTCAGGTTCAGGCCAATTCATATCCTTTAATGGAATATAATAATATTAAGCTTACAAATATAAAATAATAACAAGGCATGGATAATTGTCCCAATTTTCTATTAACTAAGTATTTTAGAAGGTACTTCTCTACATTCTTTTACGATAAAGACTGTCAATATGCATAAATTTTCCACATTCGCGGAATCGGCTAGTACAAGTTACTTACTAATGAAAACTTAAACTTTCACGTTCATTACTGTATCTTCATCAAAATTACCGATAACGAGATTGACGTAGTTTTCTCAATAACTGGCACAACATTCCAGTGTTTTGTTTTTCTTTCGTTCGTTTTATCTACCGCTTTCTGACAATAATTAGTTAACATTCAAGTGATGCACAAACTAAGACGCATGAAAAATACTATCCATAGCTATTATTTGCCCTATAGAACAAGAAACAGTTACCCATGCTTTATCTTACATGCAAATGCATATTTATACCTTTGGTTGATTAAACTGATGTTTTCTATACGTAATGCTGGCTGGTGTGTTTTGATACATTATCATAGAATCTTTAACGCATAATTCAATATCTATTTCAGGAAGATCAGAAAATAAAAGAATACATTCATTGAAACCGGAAGTTAAAAGGGAATCGCGTAACTGTTTTAATATCGCTACACCAACTAAAAGTGGAAATGAAGAATTTCCTAATAAAAGTTTATCCCATAAGTGAAGTATTTTATGAAGTGGAAATACATCTGAAAGTAACACATTCGATTGAATATCTTGATACATAAATATTTCCATACTAATAATATGGATGATATATAACTTACGTGAAAACATTGTTAAAAACCACGGTATAGCAAACAATTCTGGTACAAAATTAATCGATCTGAGATGATTAGCCAATTGAGAGTCATGAAATGCTATAATTTGTGAAAATTTTCCTAAATATTCTTGAATAATAGCCGAATTATCTTTCAAAAAGAATTTATGAAGATATTTCGGTATAAAAGTAGATAAGCATTCAAATGCTCTAGCTATAACGAAAGTATTATGTCTTAAATATACAGATAACAAGAAAACAAAGAATATATTTAATTTATTACCTTCATTATTAAAATTAAGATAGAGAAATGGAGCTGTTAAAGAATCTAATCCTTGCCAGTAAACATAATGAGGATTATTTCGTACCCATGCTTTTAATAATCTTTGTAATCCCTCATGACCAGCACCAGATGACAATAGTTCACTGTATTGATGACATCTTGGTATATCTACTTCAATCTAAAAGATTATTAACGACATTCAGTGTAATAAATCAGTAAATAGTACAATATAACATCAAAGTACACTACCTGTCTATCTGTATGAGTGGGTGTTTCTTTATCAATCATATCATAGCGCTTTTGAATATCACCAGTAATACCAAGTAATGCTGCCCATACAGCTCCTCGAACAGGTGGTGGTATATCTTTATGTGCTTCTTCTATAATTGCTTCTCTAGTAATGGGATAAACCTAAATTATAACAAATGATAATATACATGTTATAATAAATTACTGACTATGTAAATATCTGTTTTTCACACTAAATATTTATTTATGTAAGCAATCTGTTATTGATATAAGATTCTCTTCTCGCCTTTAGATATAAAATTCGGTCTCTGCTAAGTATCCATATTTAAAGCTATCCATAGGTTCGCTAAAATAAAAAATTTCATACATGTATAGTACAATTACCTGTAATAATCTATCATATAAAATAATTCTGTAAAATTGATATTCAAATTAACGAGTTGAAAATATAGAAATTTTACTAACACAGTTTCAGTATACTTACTCATTTGTTAACCACGGATAATTTGCTATATACGGAATATGAGATAATCGTTGTCTGAGTGTATCGAGAGGCACTTTGACCACACGAAGATCAAGTAAGCCAGCAGTGTCTCTACGCCCGAACATTTGACCTAAGAGTATAACTAGACTAAAAACAAAAATGAATTAACCATTCTTCATTTGTATGCAATAAATTATTTATAAAACTTTTCTGATTACTTTGGAATAGATAGAATAGGCGGTCGTGATCTGATAAGACCTTGTTTCTTTAGTTCCACAGTAATGTCCCCACCCGCCAACTGCCATAAATAGTATAACTCATCCATTTTTCTTACAATAATGTTGTTATAACGCTTTTCTTCCCTTTCTTTTTCATTGTTCAACAAGAATTCTTTAAATATTGGCAGCTTTAACAATTCTTTAGGTGTTTTACGTTTTGAGGGGTGTATTTGGAGACAACAATCTACAAATTCTTTCACGTTGTCAGGTAATTCCTGGTGCAATAATAAATCATTACTATTTTCTAAAGTAATAAAGCATTGTAATAATGTAGTAAGAAAAATTACAACCATATAAGTATTGTAGTAATTATTTTCCCTTGCCAAACGTTCGAATACAGAAGTCTCACAATGTATTAAACTAAGAACTTTCCTCAAACATTGAGATAATTTTACAGCTGGCCATATAGGTCTCCCTAATAGTAATTCTGCAATAATCATACCCAGAGACCAAGAATCTACTTTCGGACTACTAATACCAGAACTTAAAAATACTTCAGGTGTTGTATACTTTGGGTAACTATAAATAAATGTAAAAAATTCACATTTAATCTCTATAATTTGAATGTGAATTATATCGAAGTTAATAAAGCTTTTATTTATACATACCCAATCGGAAAAGACACATTCTTTTCACTATCAGTCATATAATATAAACCAAAATTATATAATTGTACATTTCCACTTTTATTAATGAGTATATTTTCTGGACTTAAATGTCTGTGCACTAGATCTAACATGTTCATATGTTCCAAGCCTAATAAGCATTGAAATGCTATTTTCATAATATCATCTATACTTAAGTTTTCCTTATTACTTAATGGATCTCCATTATATTCCGTAACTACCACTATCCTCTCTGAAAAGTAATTTACATTATACAATGTTAATATACATCACATGATTCCACAAAAGATTACTGAATGTCTAAAATTTAAGAATTGATTTTTCACCATGTTTACTCCTGATTATGTCAAGGTAAGTTGATAAATTCGGGTGGTGAATAGTTTTCAGGAATTGTGACTTTCCATATATGGTTATTGAATTTGGTGTAAGCGGTAAACCATTACTTCCGCAAACTTCAATTGGATGACTTTGTGCAAAAAATGTCATTCCACCGAAACACCGTTCTTCATTTTCTAAAAGTGTCAGACTCATTTCTGACTCTAGAATCAACATCATTATTTCAGATATTACGTATTTAATTAAATATATAATTATATTTATGTAAACATTAAAAAAACGTGTCTCAGTTGCATTAGATATCACAAAAACTAAATGCATATTATACGTACCCAATTTATTAGTATGTTTTTCTCTAATTTCAGAACATAGGTTGGTAGTAAATATCAGTAAATATTTCTGTTATTACCCATGAAATAGTATTTGTGACAACTGACAACCATTGATTATGATGGTAATGCATTTAAAGATTTTTTGGCTTAATTTTCTCATGATTGAATCACTTAAAACTATTACTTGTAAAATAATTCAATCATATTTTCTCTATATATCCCAAAGCGTTTCATAAACACTGTGACATTCATAAACACCTGACCCACCTGACACACAGTTGGTTGTATATTACATTATAGACATATACAGGGTAGGGCAATAATTATTACCACCAGAGGTGGGTACGTATTTTATACCATGTAGGGAATGCGTTTACGACACGTTGTATATGTATATGTATATATCGGTTTGAGTCCAGTTTGAACGTGTCACTTGTCGCAAATGTCGTAAATAGAAATATTAATTATTTCAACGTTTAAACAATTAAAAGTAGAAAAACTTTTTAAAAATAAGTAAAAACAATACATACTTATCTCTTTTTCATATGTAATGTTAAAAATGTAATATTGTAGGTGTAATAGTAAACACGAAATGTAAACTCAAATTAACTTTTATTATACAGGTATATAAATTATCTGTGATTGCCAAAAAATAAATGGTACAAATGAACATAATCCATATGAACCTTTGGAGTTCAGTAGGAGACAGAATGAAAAAAGGCGCAAATGTAGCGTTTTTAGTGTGTAACTGTGATATTGAAAATACAGCTGTGAAGAGATGATATAAATATGGTAAGTTGCAGTACTGTCGGTACAGATGAGACTGAAAACGTTTGTGAAATGAATATTAATATCAATAAATGTAAAACTATCAGTATTAATGAAATCAATTATTTTACAACTTCACTCAGAACCTCTTCAGTTTCTCTTGTTGTACTAAAGTTCAAAGAGTCTAGAAAAGGTTTTGGGCCACTTGTAAGATGTAACATTGGCTACGGCCACAACAGTTTTACTATTAACTGTTGAATTTTTCCACCATCAATTAGTAATACTCAATCTTGTGGTTCATCCTTACCTTGTAGAATTAACAACCTCATCATATTGTGCATCCAACATCGTTGTTGCCAGTGCCTTCCTTGTAGGAGGCTAATATTGATCATTCAGTGCATTAATAAATGCTTTCAAATGTTCTGAATCAATTACACTAAAAGGGATATTACATAAAAAGAAACAAATTTTCAAGTAAATGATCAATCTTACTTCATCCTAAGTAAAAATAAACTTTTTATTAACATAAGTTTCAATCTAAACAAACTATGTTTATTATTCTGTACCACTTTTTTGAAATCTTTTAACATCCCTTTTTCATTAATGTAACCGAATTTAATTTAATTGTTTTTAATCAGAATTATAATTGCTAATAAATTGACATTTCTTTATATCCTATACGAAAAACGTTTTATAGGTTAGAAACACGTTATAGATATTTTCATTCCAGATATACGACATTTACGACACGTGTCGTGTATAAACTGAAAAATTCGTGTATTTACCCACCTCTGAGTGGAGGCATTACATCATTGATAATGTACATTTGTAGTGTTGACAGAAATAATTCTCCTGATTATGGGATTCTGGGGTATTGATTCTGATTGATTCGATGCACGGGCTGATGGCATCAGCCTGATGCCAGTGATGCCAGAATCGTGGTACTGTTTACCCCCACCACTCTCCCACTCCGACGTACCATCGTCTCCCACTATGCGTCCCGGCTACCCCCACTTTACGTCCACCGTGCTGGCACACACAAGCATATCCAAGCCCTGCCGTGTGCGCCGGCCGTTCGAGAGACGGTGAGCAATATTTAGAAAAGAGTGGGGGTAAACCGTACCACGATTCTACTATCCTGCTGCCTTGGAAATCCTGTTCGAATATCACTGCGGCGAAAATTCACGTTCTCGACGCGATGCCCCGCAACCTAAGCGCGTGAGCAACAGTCAAGAGACCCTGTTGGAATCCCAATGCGGCGGTTTTACTTTTTATTTTTAATTATTTTATAATTTCACTTTGTAACCTCTAAGTAAAATAAAAAAGTTAAAAAATATTAATTCGGGAAGCATTTAAAAAGAAGAAAATAAATGTTTTCCACTTCAATATCTAAATTTTTTATTATATACATACATATTATGTTGTATACACATAAATTATGTTTACAATTATATGTTATCCTTAAAACCCTACTCATTACTACTCCGAACATTCGTACAAAAATCTATTAGATTTAACTGCAATAGTTTGGAAAATTCGATAGTAATCAATTTCTAAAAGCTGTTTCAACGGCAAGGGCAATCATACGCGTTGCCGAATACGTTATTGTTTCATTATGTCAAAAGAGATAATTAGGAATTTCAGAGGTTTTGAAAGAAGTGCTTTAGGCGCTCGAAAAAGCAGTATACTGCGAATAATGATCCGTTTCAAAACCTCTGAAATTCCTAAAGTACCTCTTTTCAAAAGACTCTTTTGACATAATGGAACAATAACGTATTCGGCGACGCGTATGATCTTTTACTGTGTACTTTCTTTAAAATGTTATAAATATATGTAGAAGATTCTCCTGATGAAAATAAGTTCAAACATGGCATAAATCAGAGTCTCTTTAAGAAGATAGAATTTGTATCGCGACATAACATATGAATAAAAATTGTTTTGCTGCATCCCCTTCTTCTTTTATGTATACATACACATTGAACATTATTCAAAACAGTATTAATGAACAATTCCAAATATTTTATTTAACTGTGGTTAAAATACAAAATTGCAATTACACAATTACATAAA